AATGATACGTGGAGTATCATAAACTATAACTGGAGTGTCACAAACGATAGCTGGAATATTACAAACGATAGCTGGAGTATCACAAACAACAGCTGGAGTATCACAAACGATAGCTGGAGTAAAGCAAATGATACGTGGAGTATCACAAACTATAACTGGAGTATCACAAACGATAGCTGGAGTATTACAAACGATAGCTGGAGTATCACAAACAACAGCTGGAGTATCACAAACGATAGATGGAGTAAAGCAAATGATACGTGGAGTATCACAAACTATAACTGGAGTATCACAAACGATAGCTGGAGTATTACAAACGATAGCTGGAGTATCACAAACAACAGCTGGAGTATCACAAACAACAGCTGGAGTATCACAAACGATAGCTGGAGTAAAACAAATGATACATGGAGTATCACCAACGATAGTTGGGGGTAGCACATGACTTGGAAACATGTACAAGATACATTATACAGCAACAGCAAGAGAAACTTTCTAACACAAGATAAAATTAGAAAGTAAGATAAAACTAACCAGGAAGTTGGTTACGAGGTCATCCCACACTGCCCAAATTACCACTAGGGTTTCTCCTCAAAGTTCATCAAATTACCACTAGGTTTTCTCCTCAAAGTTCATCAAATTACCACTAGGTTTTCTCCTCAAAGTTCCTCAAATTACCACTAGGTTTTCTCTTCAAAGTTCATCGAAATACCACTAGGTTTTCTCCTCAAAGTTCATCAAATTACCACTAGGTTTTCTCTTCAAAGTTCATCGAAATACCACTAGGTTTTCTCCTCAAAATCCATCGTACCTGTCTCAGGTTTTTTTGTTTCCCTTTTTCTCCAAGACAAACTCTTGAGGACTTTACACAGTTAAGAATCAAGTTACTTACTGTGTATTTTTAAGGCTAAGAGTTATTTTCCTAACACAGTACATGTTAAGAGTTTTTTTTTTTTAAATTTTAGCTCTTTTCCTGCCATATATTTTAAACGCTAAATTCCTCTGAGGAAAAGGAAGGTATCTCCGATTCCTTGAATCTAGGGCCTTTCACGGGCGTTAGGACACCTTCCCCTTTCAAGTTGTAGTGGTTTTGAGTTTGATCTCAGAGAAGCGGTAATGCTACAACTGTGGAGGCAATTTAAAGTGCTCCTGCAGAGGTAAAATAGGTGATGTACCCCCTCTCTTTTAAGAAGAGGCACTGGCGGGAAAAAGAGGGCAAGAGAAGAAAGAATGCCTCCCTTTTGTGGTGTGGCCTTGACTCCCCTGCGTTTGATGCATCTTCTCCATTACTCCCCTCCCCCCTTCCCTTCTGTTGCCTACAAACATCCTCGCACTCCCCCCCCCTCTCTCTCTCTTTTCTCTGACATCAAGATCACGTTTCGGGCAAAAGTGAATTCAAATTACATTACAACAAAGTTCACCTAATTTAAAATTCATGACAACAGACATACAGAGATATGATACACTCTAGTATTATTAGTATTCATGTTAATATACCTCAGTTTTACTATTATAAAATAAATATCAAACGCCAATATATATATATATATATATATATATATATATATATATATATATATATATATATATATATATATATATATATATATATATATATATATATATATATAACCTCATCAGTACAGGAGAATAAATTAATTAACGGAGAGAGGGGAAAAATAAGCAGCAGCATAATTTTTCAGAACCCCCGTAGTGTTTCGTGAAGCAGAATTATTAATTAAGAAGGGGGTTGGGGAGAAAGGGTAAGGGGGTGTGAGAAAGGGTAAGGGGGTGTGAGAAAGGGTAAGGGGGTGTGAGAAAGGGTAAGGGGGTGTGAGAAAGGGTAAGGGGGTGTGAGAAAGGGTAAGGGGGTGTGAGAAAGGGTAAGGGGGTGTGAGAAAGGGTAAGGGGGTGTGAGAAAGGGTAAGGGGGTGTGAGAAAGGGTAAGGGAGTGTGAGAAAAGGTAAAGGGGTGTGAAAGAGGGTATGGGGTGTGAGAAAAGGTATGGGGTATGAGAAAGGGTAAAGGTGTGAGTAAGGTTAAGGGGTGAGAAAGGGTAAGGGGGTTGAGAAAGGGTAAGGGGGTGAGAAAGGGTAAGGGGGTGAGAAAGGGTAAGGGGGTGTGAAAAAGGGTAAGGGGGTGTGAAAAAGGGTAAGGGAGTGTGAGAAAGGGTAAGGGGTGTGAGAATGGGTAAAGGGTGTGAGAATGGGTAAGGGGTGTGAGAATGGGTAAGGGGTGTGAGAATGGGTAAGGGGTGTGAGAATGGGTAAGGGGTGTGAGAAAGGGGAGAGGTGTGAGAAAGGGGAGAGATGTGAGAAAGGGGAGAGATGTGAGGATAGGAAGAAGGTTGCGAAGGAGGGTGTGTGGTTGCGGGGGAGGGTGTGTGGTTGCGGGGGAGGGTGTGTGGTTGCGGGGGAGGGTGTGTGGCTGCGAGGGAGGGTGAGTGGTTGCGAGGGAGGGTGTGTGGTTGCGAGGGAGGGTGTGTAGTTGCGAGGGAGGGTGTGTAGTTGCGAGGGAGGGTGTGTAGTTGCGAGGGAGGGTGTGTGGTTGCAAAGGAGGGTGAGAGGTTGTAGGGGAATATGTGAGTTTGTGAGGGAGGGTAGATATTGTGAGGGAGGGTAGATATTGTGAGGGAGGGTAGATATTGTGAGGGAGAGGAGAGAGTGTGAGTGAATAAGGGTGTAATTAAGGGTAGCAGGTGTGAGGGGAGGAAGGAGAAGGAAAGGTAGGGAGCAGGACTCCCAAACTGCCATGTCTTTCTCTCTCTCTTTTGCTATCTCTCTCTCTCATCACTTCCTCCACCTGTATCTGTCTTACTTGTTATCTCCCTCTTTTCTATGTATCTTTCTTATCCTTTTTTCTTCCATTCCTATCAACATTATTCTCTTATCCTACAATTCCCCTTCCCTCCTTTTCCCTTTCCTCTCCTACTATTACCATGTCCCTCCTTTGCTGTTTCCCATGATGTCAGTGAGCCCCCAGGTGTCACCTGCTTACATTACCATATGTTACAACCACCAGAGGTCACACTGCAGTAATTATCAGCTGCATTAACCTTCCCTCTCCCTCTCCTCTTGTCCTTCCCTCTCCCTCTCCTCTTGTCCTTCCCTCTCCCTCTCCTCTTGTCCTTCCCTCTCCCTCTTTGTCTGCTCCCCTCTGCTCTTGTCCTTTTCTCCTCTCCCTCTCTTCTTTTCCTCTCATCTCCTGGTTTGTGCATGTGGATCCATTTGTCTCTCACTGGAAATGTAACCACTAACATCATCTCTATAAAACCATCAGTTCACTGCTGGGACATTTAGGAACCAACACAGACACACCTACCCACCTGCAGCTGGGCAGATCAATATGCACTCATGGAAAGACATGTCAGACAATACCTTTACCTTCAGCAATGAGATCAAACCGAGAGAAAGATACACAAACGTAAAAGTTGCCCCCACACTAGGTGACAAACCAATAAAGAAATAATATAGGAAGGATGGATACTAAGGAGATTACAAATGACACAATATTAGAAAATCTGATTCAATTACATGTCAAAAAACCTGAATTTATAGCCTAAATTGTTAATGTAACCTCTCTGCTATGTCTATAATGTCTCTTGTCTTGGAGAATTTATCTTTTTTCTTTATTTTTTCACTTTCTTTTACAATCATTTATTTTTTAACTTATTCATCTTTTTCTTTTCCATTTATTAAATCCTTTGTTTTTATCTCTTTTCTCTAACTTTTTTTTATTTTATTTGCACAGGGTTTGCATGAAGAAACAGCTAATAATAAATAAATTTTTATAATCCTCACTCCTAATTTTCCACAAAATTGTATACTGCAAAATCCTTCTTATTAGCATATATACAGTGGAGTCAAAGGCATACTGTATATGCAGAACTTATATGAAGCTGCATCAAGTCAAAATGGTTTTGAGTTCACACAGCTTCACACAGAGAAATGGTGTCACAATAAGAGCTTGCTCTATAAACATATCTTTGACTCAATTCTATCTTCATCTTGCTTATGTTTCCAGTACATATGCTGTAATACAGTACATGTCTGAGAAATCACAATGCCATCAATACTCAGAATTTATTATACAATTTGCAAACTTCTACACATTTCAATTTTTTAGCTAGTCTTACAATGATGATGTGTGTTACTCACCACAGAAGTATACTGTAAGGTGATATTATATGATATTGCTTGTTAAAGCAAAGCCTGTGCTTTATGAAGATCCCGTAACTAATTATGAGGCTTGTATTTTCAAAGTACATCATTAATTTTGTAGGTAGTAGGTTGGTAGACAGCAACCAACCAGGGAGGTACTACCGTCCTGCCAAGTGAGTGTAAAACGAAAGCCTGTAATTGTTTTACATGATAGCAGGATTGCTGGTGTCCATTTTTCTGTCTCATAAACGTGCAAGGTTTCAGGTACGTCTTGCTACTTCTACTTACACTTAGGTCACACTACACATACATGTACAAGCATATATATACACACCACTCTGGGTTTTCTTCTATTTTCTTACTAGTTCTTGTTTATTTCCTCTTACCTCCATGGGGAAGTGGAACAGAATTCTTCCTCTGAAAGCCATGCGTGTTGTAAGAGGCGACTAAAATGCCAGGAGCAAGGGGCTAGTAACCCCTTCTCCTGTTTATATTACTAAATGTAAAAGGAGAAACTTTCATATTTCCTTTTGGGCCACCCTGCCTCGGTGGGATATGGCCGGTGTGTTGAAAGAAGAAAGAAGACATCATTAATTTCATTGGGAAGTGCTACACCCATAAAGGCCATAAAAATGTCTGGGGAATAGGAGGTATTGTTTGATTTAAGGTAGGGGGTGGTACCTCCAATAACTTGAATCAAGAGCTCTTCACTGTATGAAGACACCTCCCTTTGAGGAGTACATACTTTATTTGCTTGCAATTAATTTTCAAGGGTTGAAACTTGGTGGTAGGAAAAAAGGCATAAATTTATTTTTTGACGTGTGAAACCTTTCTTTTCAGAGCTTAAAAATTTTCAAGATTAAAACTAAACTTTAAAAGAAAAAGTGGAGCAATACAAATGAATTACAATAAAAGTCCAATTCCCTGAATCAAGAGTCCGTCAGTTATATCAGAGAACCTGTCTGAATAAATATAAAAATTAAATAATTAAGACCCCCTCACATCAAAATTAGTTGAAACAAACTTCCAACTATGTGGTGTATGGAAACTGTTAAGAACTTTATTCAGCATTCATAAAAAACTAACAGCAATAAAGATAGCAGCAGCTGTCAACACAAATAAGATGGCTGGCACTGCTAACATGCCAAGAAGCAAGATGTCTCCCACTACATCTGATATGAAGTCTCCAAGTGCCCCCACCCATTCTGCCTCTGCCTTCTCACTTCTGCGATATATGCACAAGGTTAGTTATTTAAGTTGTCTTTCTAGCAAAAATTCAAATCAAGAGTTGTTTGCAGTTTATATTTGCTATTACATTAAACTTAAGCCCATTAGCAAATTATTTATTAGTAGAGGTACTAGTGAGTAATATTCAAAACTTTTGCTCCACAATATAATTTGTTTTTAAATGGACAGTTAACACTTATTCATCAGACTGACAATTCTTTAAGATTTTCTGCCAACTGTAATATATAGTAGGAGTAAATAACGTGGTTTTTCTATAAACATGACAATGAGAACACATGCAAAACTAAACACAGTATACATACAATACTGCAATAGTATGACTATATATTCTAATATGTATTGTATGCTGTGATTACTGTGTATTGTAAATAGGAGGGCCCCGCTCATACAGCAGGTTTGGTTCTGGGCTACCGCTGTCGAGCACAAATTGCTGTAAAGTGGAATGTAGACATCTTTTCACTTTCCAATGCACATAACAGCCGATAACATGTTTACACTATCAAATATTAAGAGCAATAGAGCTAGGCCTAAAAAATGCATATTCAGTACACACATTACTTGCCTACTATTTATATCTCCCACCTATTCTCCAGCTCAACATATTAGAAATTTAAATTTTGCCTCTCCAAAGTTTATTTCACAATTCTTATTCTTATTGCCATGTTCCACTGTTATTAATAATATTTTACCCTGTGCCTTTTTGGTAAAAACAATCTTATTTATATGAAATATACTTCAGTACTGTTACTTTAATTGCATGAGCAAAGATACTCTTTGATCTCATCACAGAGGAATGGGAAGTATTCAGGTTTAATCTGAGGAAGGGAAGGACAGCTCTAATTTCTTGGATCAAAAGCCATGCAAAAGCATCAAGTAACACCCCTTGAAAAGAAGTTGGAGAAAGTTAGTGTACTCATCAATGTGTACTTACCACTGGGAGACATGTGTTCAGCATTGCCCCTCATTTCCAAGGAAAAGTTGAGTTGGCACATCTTAAGGAATGCCTGTACTGCTAAGCAGCTAGCATTATCCGGCAACAGAATTTGCTCAACTTCATACTGCTGGAATAATTTCACATCATTTGGCCATGGTTCTTGAGCTAGATGGACAAAAATTATATACCTGTCAATAGTGGTCATGTAAAGAACCTAAGAAGTGCAATAAAAATACTGAAAATAATAAAAAGTCACAATACCATGGCTAAAACAATTTACTAAAAACTTGCACTTAGGAGAGGACCCTTATGACGATGTTTCTGTCCATCCTGGACCATTGTCACATCATAACTTGACAATGGCTCATCATCATGGCATTTCTTGCCTAAGTGTAGATTTTTAGTGAAAAATACTGAAAATATGCTAGTGTAATAATGCAATTAAAATGGTCTCATACATTTTACAAAACACAATGATAAATATGCTTTAGTAAGATTAGAGTGAGAAACAACAACTATCACTAATTATTTGTTAAATATAAGTGCAAATACTTGTAGTAGATTAAAAAAGTGGGAAGAACTGAAGATGAAGTCGAGGGAAACAAAAGTACAGTAATATATTATATAATAGAAATGTAACAAAAATCTCAATAACCAATCATTTTTAAATTTAAATACAGTACATAAATTTGCACTATAGCTAATTTAACATAAGTACTGTACCATGACAGATCATTTTTTAAAAACTCTTTTGCATAAAAAAGAGGTGTCTGAACCCTACACACCCAACCCAACTTCTGTAGGTATAGCCACTAACAAACTGTTTACTACCCGACTGCTGTATAAATAACTTTTAAAAAATTATTTGCTATCTAGCTGCTGGCTGAATAGACATTCACTTTGAATTTATTGAGTTTCCTTAAAATACAGTAAACTCTCAATTTATTGAAATAACAAGGGAAAGATGGTGACTGGTAATGACGACTAGTGGACAGAAATGAAATTTTGTGATCATAACAATAACCAACAGTTCTGTAACCAACAAACTTTCTTCATTGTTTCTACATCAACTGACCCAGCAGATTTTGTCCTGTATACCTGAAGTCCATTTAAATTTAGGTCCATTATAATAAGGTGTTTACTGAAGTGTGCAATATTCATCTTGTCACATTAAGAGAATGTATGTTCTTTAATGATGATAAGGAAACTTAACAAATAAGCTTATGCTAGGTTATTTACAAGGCCATCTAATTTGATATAAATCTTGGATATACCACTAAAAGAAAGGAAGTACAGTACAAGCCAGCACTCATCACAGTGAAGATGTAACACTGCCAAAACTAAATTAAACTGTGCATTGAAAAATGTAGCCAAAATGCACAAACACACCTGTAATCACCACCATATTAAATTATGTGCAATGATAATCATGTATTCATGATTGTTGTTGCATGATGTCAACAGTAACAGCCTGGTTGATCAGGCTCTGATTCACCACAAAGCCTGGTCACAGACCGGGCCGCAGGGGCACTGATCCCTGAAACCCTCTCCAAGTATACTCTAGGTATGCACAGAGACTTTCGAAATCAGTGTGAGGCACTTTAATATATTACTGACAAAAAATGTAGAACCACTACAGATATTTTTGCATTTTATGCAATAATTTTACGTATAGTAAGTTTCTTCAGGAACCAGCATTCAATATTATTATATCTGGCTTTATTATTGCATTCACGGGGAGTGCTAAACTCAGCTGGGGAATGAGAGGCATCAGGTTCGATCCAATTAAACTGGAAAACGGGTACATTTCCTTGGATGAAGCATTTCTTGTTGGCTACTGATTTTATATAGGTATTAAAATGAGTACAATTTTTATTTTACCTATAGATATTAATATATCTTACACATAACATACAAACTGGTTTATAATCGTCTTTTTTGCATATAAATCATTAAATCTCAATTTTATTATTACAGTCAAAACTAAGTGCTAAACCCACAAGGGTCATCAAATCTCAGCAAAGTAAATCTCAGTAATATTTTGTTTCACTTATCTGGAAAAGTTACTGACCCCCAATGGAAATAAGTCACTTTGTCTGACTTTTTGAGTTATCCTAAGTAATTTACACTATTTGTACCTGTACCTAAAAAAAAAACTTACTTGTAGGTTACATTAGGTAAGGTTTGTCAGGAAACAGAACAAGTATTTCCTGACGAGGGTCTTAGTCATATGATGACCCGCCACTGGAGCTTTTGGTCATCTGACCGAGGCCTTCCACTGGCTTACCGTTCCACCCCCTTTGAAAGACATGGTTATATACCGGAACTTATTCGTATTGTACTCTAGTGTGAATTTGTAAATGGTCCAAGTCGGACCGAAACGTCGTCGCAAACTCCTCTGTCCTATGTACAGTGTATTGTGTGGTTGTTTAGGGTTGGGTTGACTGTGGCACACTCCATGATTATCTACGTAACTGCAGACTTTAACTCAGTTATATAAAGTATGAGATGACCTGCAAGGTTGTTAGTGGTTAATGGTGGTGCACTTACCGCCCAGTTCCACGGAGATGGAGTCTGTGAGGAGCACGGAAGGCATGTCTGGCAGCAGCCCCAGCAATGTTTTGGTGGCTGGGAGAAACAGCTGACCCAGCCACCCATGATGCTCCAGCAACAATCAGCTGAGCATCATCACCATGGTAACCACCCTGGTTACCATGGTAACCATCCTCGTTGTCATGGCAACGAGACGCTCGATACAATATGGCTTCACCTGCCATCAGTGTGGTGAGAGGTGGCAGGTGAGGGTGTCATGCCGCTCCTTCCTTACTCATGGCTCGCTCCGGGGAATATATCTTGTGAATATCTTTTTACAGATGAAACCAGCGGATCTCTCGCCTCGTAATGACGACCTCTCAAGCCATGATAGTTCTCTGGAGGTTGAGGTAAGTTGCTTTTCATGCATGTTTGGGCCCATAGTGAGATAGAAATATAGTTTGACGGATATGTTGTCACTCATCTCATACATATGTTTATTATTTTGAAAGATTATTAAAGTGCAACTACCATTGACCCATTCACTACCGTTACTGACCCACCCACCACTACCACTGACCCACCCACCACTACCACTGACCCACCCACTACTACTACTGACCCACCCACTACTACTACTGACCCACCCACTACTACTACTGACCCACCCACCACTACCACTGACCCACCCACTACTACTACTGACCCACCCACTACTACTACTGACCCACCCACTACTACCACTGACCCACCCACTACTACTACTGACCCACCCACTACTACCACTGACCCACCCACCACTACCACTGACCCACCCACTACTACTACTGACCCACCCACTACTACCACTGACCCACCCACCACTACCACTGACCCACCCACTACTACTGACCCACCCACTACTACTACTGACCCACCCACTACTACCACTGACCCACCCACTACTACTACTGACCCACCCACTACTACCACTGACCCACCCACTACTACTGACCCACCCACTACTACTACTGACCCACCCACTACTACCACTGACCCACCCACTACCATTGACCCACCCACAACCACCACTGACCCATTCACTACCGTTACTGACCCACCCACTACTACCACTGACCCACCCACTACCATTGACCCACCCACAACCACCATCACTGACCCATTCACTACCGTTACTGACCCACCCACTATTACTACTGACCCACCCACTACCATTGACCCACCCACTACTACTACTGACCCACCCACTACTACTACTGACCCACCCACTACCATTGACCCACCCACAACCACCACTGACCCATTCACTACCGTTACTGACCCGCCCACTACTACCACTGACCCACCCACTACCATTGACCCACCCACAACCACCATCACTGACCCATTCACTACCGTTACTGACCCACCCACTATTACTACTGACCCACCCACTACCATTGACCCACCCACTACTACTACTGACCCACCCACTACTACTATTGACCCACCCACTACCATTGACCCACCCACTACTACCACTGACCCACCCACTACTACCACTGACCCACCCACTACTACCACTGACCCACCCACTAATACTACTGACCCACCCACTAATACTACTGACCCACCCACTAATACTACTGACCCACCCGCTACTACTACTGACCCACCCACTACTACTACTGACCCACCCACTAATACTACTGACCCACCCACTACTACTACTGACCCACCCACTACTACTGACCCACCCACTAATACTGACCCACCCACTACCACTGACCCACCCACAATCACCACCACTGACTCATTCACTACCGTTACTGACCCACCCACCACTACTACTGACCCACCGACAACCACCATCACTGACCCATTCACTACCGTTACTGACCCACCCACCACTACTACTACTGACCCACAACCACCACCACTGACCCATTCACTACCGTTACTGACCCACCCACAACCACCACCACTGACCCATTCACTACCGTTACTGACCCACCCACCACTACTACTACTGACCGACCCACTACCACTCACTGACCCACCCACAATCACCACCACTGACCCACCCACAACCACCACCACTGACCCACCCACAACCACCACCACTGACCCACCCACTAACCACTGGCCCACCCACTACCACTAATACTGACCCATCCATTACCAACACTATTATCCCACTAATACTAACCCACCTACTACCACTAGTGAACCATCCACTACAATCCCACCCATACCACTAATACTGACCTACCCAATACTGTCCTGCCCACTACCGCTAATACTGACCCGCTCACTACCAACACTACTGACCCACCCATACCACCACTAATTACCCACCTACTACTACCACCCCTTACCTACCGCTTACCCACCCACTACCACTACTGACCCACCCATTACCACTGACCCACCAACTACCACCACCACTTTCCCACCCACTACCACCACCCCTTACCCACCCACTACCACCACCGACCCACACACTAGATTTTTTCTATCTATATCTATGTATTTATCCACCTATTTATCTATCCAGAGTATATTAACTGTGTTAGGAAATTGGCAAAATCGAATCTTGAAAACGTAACTCACTGGGTAAATCTGGTCTTAAAAATTCATCAGTCTTTAGACTCAGACGGTTGAAAAGAAACATAATTATTTCCCGTAAAACTACTAAATAATTTTAATAATAAAATTGTATAATTTGAACCTATGTGCTTCAACAGCATTGGCAACCTTCTTCTAAGAAGGCCACGCCATGTAAGTTTGCAGCTGGTTACCTGGAGGTTATTCCGGGGATCAACGCCCCCGCGGCCCGGTCCATGACCAGGCCTCCCGGTGGATCAGGGCCTGATCAACCAGGCTGTTACTGCTGGCCGCACGCAGTCCAACGTACGAGCCACAGCCCGGCTGATCCGGCACTGGGTTGAGGTATCTGTCCAGCTCTCTTGAAGGTAGCCAGGGGTTTATTGGTAATTCCCCTAATGCTTGATGGGAGGCTGTTGAACAGTCTTGGGCCCCGGACACTTATGGTGTTTTCTCTTACTGTACCAATGGCGCCCCTAGACTTTGCGACACGGAAACCAAATCGAGGAAGTCTACGTGAAATCGACCAGAGAACAAATGCTAAGAGTTGCGCGAATTTTTCCCAGTATTAATATTGAAAAAAAATGAAGCTAGTTGAATGAATTCTTAAGTTATAAATGAAAACCTTGAAAGAAGCAAACTAAGGCAGCTACTTTCAAAGTTTATTCTCTATAAAGATTACAATGTTGAATTTACAGAATTTGGTTGTTGTGTGGTTTACATGTAGTTAAATAATGATTACAGTGTACCACTAGAACGCCTAGCATGGCTAGGCATTTCGGGCAGACTTAGTTTAATTCTTTGTTTTAAAATATTACAAATTATGAGGTAAGTTGGTATTATGGCTAAGTGACTAAATACTAGTTTGTGAGTTTAGCAATGTGAATGCTTTTGTTTTGGCACAGTACATAGTTTCAGTATTGGAGTATCATAGGATTCATTATTTTAAGATTGAGATTAATATTTCTGTTTATGGTCAAATGGGTGAGTGAGTGTAAGTGTGAACCACCAGGTGGTATTCGTGTAGTTAGTTGATGGGGTTTATCAGGGAGATAAGATGTTTTCTAATGGTAGTTTTGAAGGTGATGAATGTGTCTGCAGTTCTAGAGTTCTCAGGTAGGGTGTTCCAGATTTTAGGGCCTTTGACATACATTGAATTTTTGTAAAGGTTTAGTCGGACACGGGGAATGTCGTAGAGATGTTTGTGTCTGGTGTTATGCCTGTGGGTTCTGTCACAACTATCAAGAAAGCGTTTTAGGTCAAGGTTGATATTGGAGTTTAAGGTCCTGTAGATGTAGATTGCACAGTAGTAATTGCGGATGTACTGAACAGGGAGTAAGTTTAGATCTATGAAGAGGGGGGGGTGTTGCCAGGGATGGGATTTAGTGATTATTCTTACTGCAGCTTTTTGTTGGGTTATTATTGGCTTTAGGTGTGTTGCTGCAGTTGATCCCCAAGCACAAATAGCATAGGTGAGGTATGGATAAATAAGTGAGTGGTATAGTGTGAGAAGGGCATTTTGCGGCACGTAGTATCGTATCTTGGAGAGGATCCCAACTGTTTTGGATACTTTTTTGGTTATGTGTTGGATATGGGTGCTGAAATTCAGGTTGTTGTCAAGGTATAGGCCTTGGAATTTGCCCTCATTATGTCTGGTAATTAGAGTGTTGTCGATCTTAATGTTAATTTGTGCATCTCCTGCTCTGCTACCAAACATAATATAGTAGGTTTTGTCAATGTTAAGCGTAAGTTTATTGGCTGTCATCCAAGTCGATATTTTGATCAGCTCCTCGTTAACAATGGTGTTGAGGGTGGCAAGATTAGGGTGAGAGATGACATAAGTCGTGTCGTCAGCAAAGAGAATGGGTTTCAGGTGTTGGGATACGTTTGGAAGATCATTGATGTATATGAGGAAGAGCAGGGGACCAAGGACACTTCCCTGCGGAACTCCAGTGTCAAGTGGCCGTGTTGTTGATGCTGTGTCTTTAATGGTAACATACTGATACCTATTAGTAAGGTAAGATTTGAAATAAGCAAGCGCATGGCCTCTTATACCGTAATGGTCAAGTTTGTGGAGTAGGATGTCGTGGTCTACTGTGTCAAAAGCTTTTCTTAGGTCAATAAAAATTCCTAGTGGATATTCCTTATTTTCTAATGCTGTGTAAAGCAGATCACGTATTTTGTCCTCAGTAGACAATGAAAGTATGTCAGTTATCCAAGTGTGATCCGTCATTGTTTACGGACGTGCTGGACGTCGATTATTCCTACCCTAAGCTTTGTATGGCTTCGTCTGGGTTTCCTTGTTTCTGTGTCTCTGAAGAAGTCATCAGTGTTGCCACATGGAACCCATTAATTCACGATCCAGTAGACACACTTCCTTCAGCATATTTACTGATTTGCTTTAAATTATCCACGTATTTCAATAATACTAAACTAGTGATTTACATAGGAAAATCTACAGTATAAAGAGCAATGGAAACCTAGAGAGTTGGTATTGGAACCCTCGCAGATGAGGATACTCTGAGCACACTGCTGCTGGTGTAGCCATCCATCACTCACCTCTCGCCTCACTCGCAGGAGGAAGGCAGCAGCTGCAACAGCGACCCTGGCACAGGCAAGGCACGACGGGGCTACTGCAGCCGCTGTGACAACTGTTTCCCCGACGCAGCCCTCCACCGCCACCCACAGGTGTGTCTCAATTAACAACGCCCTCGCAGGTGTCTTAATAAGGCCTACACGGGTTTCTTAATAAGGAATACACAGATTTCGTAAGTCTATACAGGTTTTTTTAATAACGCTCGCAGTTTTAATTAAGGTTTAGACAGGTGTGCGTCTTGATTTTCTTAAGTGTACTGTGTGCATATTTGTACTAGCCTAGATCCCGTCCCTGGTAGGTAACCATGTGTCTCGCCTTTATCCTGCCCATGGATTCTGCTGTCTTTACAGGAGTGATTGACTAGTGCTCTGTTACTAACCCATTAGGGTCTCTGTGATTACTGCACTTATGAAGCACTGCATGGAGTTAAACTCCACCACCTAACTACCCATTAATACTTTTTATCCTTTAAAAGTGCCTACTTGTACACTGAAGTGCTTCCGTATTATCTTGTAGCTTATTTGGACATTGACGCTCATCTTTTATGACCTCTCCTTGAGCTCCTACCAAAGTCGATGAGTCTGGCTTCGTTCACCCTTTCATTACCTTTTAGTATTTTGTACGTTATAATTATGTCTTCTCTGGATCTTCGCTCCTCTTGTCGTGATATATAGCTCCTTTAATTTTTCGTAGTGGTTATGCCTCTCTTTCTCCCCCCCCCCCTCTCTCTCTCTCTCTCTCTCTCTCTCTCTCTCTCTCTCTCTCTCTCTCTCTCTCTCTCTCTCTCTCTCTCTCTCTCTCTCTCTCTCTCTCTCTCTCTCTCTCTCTATACACAGGTGAGTACAAATGGGAAGAGCATCTGTCTGGCTCTTAGCAGACGGAGGATGAAGCCTCCACCATGCCTTGCGCTGAATGACCCTTATGGGCTTAGCACTTTACATGAATTAAACAAAAACAAACCTCTCTCTCTCTCTCTCTGCAACTCCGAACCTCTATATCCATTATACAGTTGTGTGTATGGCTGAACGCTGGCTGTGCGATACACATACAAATGGGGCCAGGTGTGAATCGACCCCCTGCAACCACATATAGGTGAGTACACACACACACACGTAATTAACACACACACACAACAGTCAAAGTGTCTTAGCGACAAGTGTCTTTGTATTAATATTGGTAGAATTACCGACAATATGTTAAGTAAAAGGACACAAATGCAACTAATGTGACATTTTATTGTGGCAACGTTTCGCTCTCCAGGAGCGGCTTGATAAAGCTCCTGGAGAGCGAAACGTTGCCACAATAAAATGCCATATTAGTTGCATTTGTGTCCTTTTACTTAACAAGTGCCTTGGAAAAGTGGTAACTAAAACACACGCACAGCCATACCCGGGCCTCTGTTTCCTTGTTAAAGCTCATAGGCTCGAACTTAGAGCATTTCACAAATATACATTTTTTTTTTCAAAGTGGTAGACCAATGAAATAAATTACAAAAGGATAAAATAAATGCTTCAGCAATTTGAATTTAAAAAAAAAAATATGAACAAATTATATATCTAAGCCGGAACACCTCGATTCCTCCTGTGGAGGAACTGACCTCCGGTGAGGAGCGACGGGGGTTTAACCCCCATTCACTTTCCACAGTTCAAGGGGGGGGGGGGGAGGGAGTCAGCAACGTATACCATACCATATGTCCATGAATGAGACACCCCTTCTTTGTCACCTACACTAGTAACTAGAAGATTTTCCACAGCTCCTGTAGTTGTAAATGGGTGTTTCTCTTTCTCTCTCTCTCTCTCTCACTATCTTGCTCTCTCTCATTATCTTGCTCTTTATTTCAACTAGAAGATTTTCCATAGCTCCTGTAGTTGTAAATGGGTGTTTCTCTCACTCACTGTCTTGCTCTCTCTCATTGTCTTGCTCTCTCTCATTGTCTTGCTCTCTATCACACACACACACACAGTCTTGCTCTTCATCAATACCCACACATGTTCAATGAAGCACTATTCAGTGTTAATTTGTTTACGTTATTGTTGTTGTCTGTCTTCATGTTGGCTTTATGTCTCTAAAATATTGATTACTCCAGTAAACTTTTAGTCTACATTGGCTACACTGGAAGCTTGTCTATGTACTATAGTAAAAGATATTCAGGGTAGGCTACTGTAAAAGAAATTCTATGTAAGCTACAGTGAAATATTCTGTTGGCTAGTGAAAAATATTTTATGTTGGCTACAGTGAAAGAAAGGATACGTAGGCTACAGTGAAGATAAGATAAGATTTCGTTCGGTTTTTTAACCCCGGAGGGTTAGCCACCCAGGATAACCCAAGAAAGTGCGTTATCGAGAACTGTCTAACTTATTTCCATTGTGGTCCTCAGTCTTGTCCCCCAGGATGCGACCCACACCAGTCGGCTAACACCCAGGTACCTATTTGCTGCTAGGTGAACAGTACAACAGGTGTAAGGAAACGCGTCGAAATGTTTCCACCCGCCGGGAATCGAACCCGGGCCCTCCGTGTGTGAAGTGGGAGCTTTAGCCACCAGGCCCCGTAGGCTACAATGATAGATGGTTCACGTAGGCTACAATGAAAGATGGTTCACGTAGGCTACAGTGAAAGATGGTTAACGTAGGCTACAATGAAAGATGGTTCACGTAGGCTACAGTGAAAGATGGTTCACGTAGGCTACAGTGAAAGATGGTTCACGTAGGCTACAGTGAAAGATGGTTCACGTAGGCTACAGTGAAAGATGGTTCACGTAGGCTACAATGATAGATGGTTCACGTAGGCTACAATGAAAGATGGTTCACGTAGGCTACAGTGAAAGATGGTTAACGTAGGCTACAATGAAAGATGGTTCACGTAGGCTACAGTGAAAGATGGTTCACGTAGGCTACAGTGAAAGATGGTTCACGTAGGCTACAGTGAAAGATGGTTCACGTAGGCTACAGTGAAAGATGGTTCACGTAGGTTACAGTGAAAGATGGTTCACGTAGGTTACAGTGAAAGATGGTTCACGTAGGCTACAGTGAAAGATGGTTCACGTAGGCTACAGTGAAAGATGGTTCACGTAGGCTACAGTGAAAGCTAAACCTCTTGATGTATATAACTTGTGTAGTTCCAGTGATGGCCACACTTGGCATATGTACTATTTGTGTGTTCAATATACTGTGGCCCATTATTCAGGATTCTAGGTCATGTTCTGGTTGTTAATGTAAACTGTATCACTCTTTTCATATTTGAATTCTGGCTGAGTTTTATAATTTGTGTGTGTGTGGATATAATATATATATATATATATATATATATATATATATATATATATATATATATATATATATATATATATATATATATATATATATATTGACGAATATGACGCACACCTGAGGTCAACCCTTAAGAAGGCACTGAACCTGTCACTAGAGGATCAGCAATGGGATCAGGCAACCCTCCCAGTACGACTGGGAGGTATAGGGGTGCGCAAAGCAACGCATGTTGCTTTACCTGCTTTTCTGTCTTCGTGTTTGGCTTCCAGTGCATTAGTCAAGAAGATTGTTCCCGAACGCTTGAGAGACATGGTAGGAGCTCAAGACCCCAGGTTTACTGAAGCAGCGATTCGGTGGGACACCCTTACAGATTCCTCCAGTAGACCAGCTCCTCCCAAAGAACACAAACAGTCCCACTGGGACAAACCGATCATGGAAAAAATCGCCAACACAATGCTCTCCAACGCCTCAGGAAAGGACAAAGCTCGTCTCCTGGCAGTGAAGGCACCACACTCAGGAGATTTCCTGTTTGCTGTTCCCAATTCCTCCTTGGGCACTCGACTAGACCCACAGGCCATTCGGATTGGTGTTGTTCTTCGCCTAGCCGCCCCCATCCTCACCGAACATAGGTGTATTTGCGGCAGGGCGACAGCTGATCAATTCGGACTTCATGGTCTCGTGTGTCACACAGCAGAAGGGAAGTATGCCAGGCATGAGGAGGTCAATGACATCATAAAGAGAAGCCTCGCCACAGCCCGTTGCCCAGCTCAACGGGAACCCCAAGTGCAGAGGTCTGACGGAAGTCTAAAGCGTCCTGATGGAGCCACTATGCTACCGTGGAAGGATGGAAAGCAGATTGCCTGGGACTACACATGTGCCGCCACATTGGCAGACACCTACTTGCCATACTCCGTAGTGGAAGGGGGTGGAGCTGCCAGCCACAGGGAGACTCAGAAGATCCGCAAATATGAAGACCTTCCCCCTTGCTATAACTTCATTCCAATAGGGTCGGAGACCCTTGGAGCATGGGGCAAGTGTGCTCTAAAGTTCCTCAAAGAGCTAGGTGAAAAGCTCATCATAGAAACCAAGGACCACAGGGCGACCAGCTTCCTCTTTCAGAGACTCAGTGTTGCGATCCAGAGAGGAAATGCCTGCAGCATTCTGGGCACGCGGCCCACCGCCGGGGAGCTGGACGAAGTATTCGAGATGTAGCTCTCAGTTACCTATGTTGTTTTACTTTGTATCATATTTTTGTGAATGTTTTGTCAATGTATTTTGTCTTTAAATAAAAATTATATATATATATATATATATATATATATATTATATATATATATATATATATATATATATATATATATATATATATATATAATATAGGGGGTGGTAGGAGAAAATTCTCAAACAGCTTCAGGGAGAATCTTGAGTTTTCCCTGAAGCAAGTTTATTCTTTTCTCTGAGGATGAGGGTCCCTATAACAGTTCTAGAGGTGGTACCTCCCTATATATATATATATATATATATATATATATATATATATATTATATATATATATATATATATATATATATATATATATATATATATATATATATATATATTGTAATATTTACTCTAACTCAGTTGTCGGTAATGAGTGTTTTCTCATTTTCCACTTATTGCATATTTTCTGTTTTCAACTGCCGTTAAACTGTGATTTAAGATGAAGTGAGAACCAACAAAGATCATCACAGTGGTACTAAGGCAGCATCCAAATTGGGACCCAGTTCTTTGATAAAGCTTTTTCGTGGAAAACGTAACTGAAAATACAGGCTTAGGTGGTTTGGAAATTTCTGTGCGTACTGCCTCCTAACTTGCAGCTAATTTAGCTAAAACTGTTGACACAGACATCCCGGGATACTAACTCGGGCACGCCAGTGCCTCGTGCAAGAAAAATCCACGTAACTACGATGTTGTGTAATTCCTAACTGTAAAACGGCGAAGTCATCTTGAAATGACGGAGTAATATGCGTTCTTACTCTTAGTACTTCAGGTGGAGAACTTCGGTGTTTCTCCGTCCACCTCGATAACCCGCGAACGTTCAACTCAGTTCTACCAGAAAGATTGGTCAAGTATGCTATCAGGAACTTGTGTCTAGTCCTCAGGGCTCGTCAGGATATAGTAGTACACCACTGTACTAGGGGAAGCTCCGTTAATCTCGTGGTTCCCCAATCCAAGCGAGTTTATGCTGGTGTTCTGCGTCACTTCTTATCTCTGTGACCTTTGAGTTACCTAGCGTCTCTTAACTGACTTCATTCGAATTTGAAAACACTGGCTATCTAATACTACTATAATAGACCTATTCCTACCTATTTAGGTCCTAAAACTGTATTAATAATTCCTACGGTTATTTTCTACTTTGTGTAACCTCGTAAATCTTCCTAGAAGGATAAATATTATGTACAAATGTTATGTAAATGGGTATATTAAGGGCTATTCATGCTTGAGCACTATAAACGTTTCTTGGAATATTTTTGTCTCACGGTCTTTCATAGTTTTTTACCCATTTCACACTGGTCACCATATGGCAGCCTCGAATGGTACGTGTATCCATCTGTATGTCTGTAGGTTTGAGCTCTGGATTTTGGGTCCCTCGTTTAGGCTTCATTTGACTGGTTTGCCTTGCTCTCTGCCCTTTTGGACTGTCTTAATCAGTTTTGAATACCATATAATGTAAAAAAAATATTGTATACTCGTCGCTTTTCATTAGTTCGAAGTTTCTTGAGCTTATATTATATGAAATTTAAATACAGATTAATAATAATAAAATATAATACTATTACTAATACAATATAGAAAACAGTGATAGAGAAATGAGGGTTAGGTTACACTAAGAAGTTTGACTTCTATTGTAGATCACATAACATTCTGGTGTTGCAGAAAGATTACGACTCGATGATGGTGGAGAGACAACCCAGTAATACCAGTGCCAGTAGCAACGCCAAGTACGTCAGTAACAATAGTGATCACGCTGACGACACCGACGAAGGTCCTTGCGGCGGCTGCGACAGCGAGACGGAGAGCGATAGGGTACCCAAGTGTGCATCGCGGAGTTCTAACGCTGACGGCATGGAGACCCCTCATGATGTGGACCTGACGGAGGCCATCAAGATCCCTGAGGTAAACGGCAAGAGGTCGATCGTGGAGGTGCTCTCGCAGGTGGTGAAGCTGGAGCGCTCGTCTTCTTCGTCTGCGTCAGAGCTTACCAGAACTCCTGAAGCCCCAGATATCGTGACGTCGACGACGAAGGGTCGTGCAAGGAAGGCTCCGCCGCCGAAAAGGATGACGAGCGGGGCTCAGAGGGGCGCTGATGTGGCTACTCTGGCTATACTATGCCAGCACTACGCTCAGCTCGTCCAGGCACTCAAGGTACTCTGGTGACACCGGTTTTAATTCTCTGCGTCATTGTAATGTGACGGATATTATGTGTATATGTGGGAAGGGCGAGGTAAAGTCTGATCCCTCCCAAATACTATGTATTCCTTGCTCATTCATTATTCCATGTGAGTGTCCCTATATTAATTGTAAAGTTTTGCGTATTCCCTTATTAACATATCAGTTGAGAAGGCTTGACCTGACACCTTTCCACTTAATATCCTCCATACATCTCTCTGACCCTACCTCCTCTCTATTACATTGACCCCTCAAGGAAAGGTTCCGTGATGTTGGTGAGGGGCTCTTGATTTAGGGAATTGGATCTGTGCTCCAGTTCCCCAAATTAAGCCTGAATGCCTTCCACATCCCCCCCTAGGCGTTGTATAATCCTCCGGGTTTAGAGCTTCCCCTTTGATTATAATAATAATATTACATTGACATATTTTATTACCTGGTGTACAAAAAGCAATCCTATGATGAAATATGACAGGGAAACATGGCTAACTATTGTAATCACTATGTAACTGACATGTAGAAGGGCAGCAGCACCTAGCTCATGTACCCAGTTTTATTTAATAAAACAAGTCTGCCACTATACACTACTAAGCGTTTAGCATAGTTAGCTTTTCTTACCACAATATCTTTCACAAACAGTAGGATAGCCGGGCACTTCGGGTGTATTCAGTTTTGATTAATACAAAAATACCTCGTTCCCTCATACATTACATCTCTTCATCATTTCCCTTATTCTTCCCTTTCCTCCCTGTCTCATTCTGGGGTCTCCCCACAGTACATTATTCAGAACAAGTTTCAAGGCACCTTTGATGATTCATCTTGTGTGATTCACAGCATGGATGCGGTAATTTCACCCCCTCGCATTTATAATTTACTGTCCATTCTTCGCCTCAGTTTTTCACCGTGTCCCTTGAAAGGGGTGCATTGCTGATGAAGGACTCTTGATCCAAGGAACTGAACCTGATTACCTCCCATTTACTGAATTTCAAGTTTCCTTTGCACCTGTGGTGCCCTTCCCACTTGGCAATATAAGTAGGTACTTGTGTGGAAGCTAACTGTTCTGAGCTACATCTACTGAAAAAATGCCCTAAGTTATATCCTGTATGTGTTTACCTAGTTGTAATTACCAGTTTGTAATTGCATTGCGTATATGATGCTTGGTACCGATATATTGATCTAGTTCGTTGACCTTTTCAGGAGGAGAATTATCTGCTGTCATGCGCGCGAAGTCCCTTGCTGGCTACGCCCCGGAGCAGTGTGCGGGTAGCCCCTGGCGGCATTGCTGCTCGCAGGCACCTGGGCAGTAGCGGCAGTGGCAGGAGCAGAAGCACCAAAAACGTCTTTAACTGGGACTCTGAATTCGTGCAGAACTACGAACAAAATCGCCTGGCTGCTGTGGATAAGGACGGTGAAGCAACGATGTTCAATAACGAGAGCTGCGGCAAGTTTATCTCGGACATCAGGATGCCAGATTCTCCCAAAAGTATAAGAGTGCAAAGGAGTTACTCCACTTTCAAAGATAACTGCAATAATAATAATAACAATAACAATAATTGTTCGCCACTGGAGAGTCCCACGAGAGTGAGCGACGACAGGCCTAAAAGTGTTGCCAGCTCAGCAAGTGACCTGTCACACAAGGAGAGAAAATCCTGGAACTTCAAGCCTCTACGAAGTGCAGCGGGCAAACACAAGAGGGACTCGAAACACACAAGGAAGAGTTCCTTCAGTTTATTCAGGGACTCCAAAGACACCGAGAAATTAGACATAGAGAACGGGAACAAGTCGCCAGAGGTGGGGTCCCGAGCAGCTACCTTCCAGACACCGACGGTGGGAGTTCTCTCCACCAAGATCAACGACATGGAACTCAAGATTCAGGAAATACTTAAGCTGGAGCCCATTGACCTCATAATGAGAGAGAAGTAAGTCAATTTGAGTTAGTTGTGAATATTTTCAGCCACGGTATTTTAACAATTTGGCATGCCTATACAATACCGTACTACAACAGCGAAGAGGCGGGGCCAGGAGCTACGAATCGACTCCTGCAACCACAAATAGGTGAGTACACACCTATTATTATTATTAAATGAAACACTGGTATGTTTTGAACTTAATCCCCCCACACCACTGAAATCAGTAATAAATAGATCCACAAGTCTCAGATTATTATTATTAATTCTAATCATATTCATAGGGAATTGTTAAACCTGTACGAACCATATAGCTCCTGGGAAATGGTAGGTAATTAAGTTTGATTCGAGAAAAAGGGAGGTGAACTCCAATTCTGTATACATGTATCGAGCCCATCACCAGCTTCAATCCTCCCTTGAAGAGTGTTTAAGCTAGTGTGGTACTGATGACCTAGTGTGTTTGTTATACACAAGGACTACAATATCTTTCGTGGTCTCCTGCCACAGCAGCCTGGACAGGTCGCCAGGCAGACGCTCCCTGGGTAGTGGTGGCAGCCTCAGGAGGTCTGCCAGTGTGGGACAGAGAGGAAGCTTCTACCGCCACTCCGTCAGGGACACACGCAGGGACCAGGTGCGTCTACAGGGAAATTGGGGCACTGTGGACAAATGTCGTGGCAGTGTGGACAAGTGTCGTGGTAGTGTAGACAAATATGATGTCGGGATAATGTGGATAAGTGTAGTGAGTGTAGACAATGTATGGGTTATGCCGACAAGTGTGGGGAAGATTGTTATATCATGGAGAAGCACTAAACCCCTAGGGAATGGGAGGTAACCAGGTTTGCTGCAAGGAAGGGGAGGACAGCTGTAATTCCTTGGATCAAGAGCCCTTCACTGGTAGCAAGACACCCACCTAAAAGGGAAAAAATGAACAGATGTAGAAGTAGAGAACAGTAGAGTACTTCATTAGCTGCTATTGTACTGTATTATATTACAATCTCCTTGATGCTTTATTTATAGATTCATCAGTGCAGAGCACTGATGAATGTATAAATAAAGGGGAGTGTGCAAGCAACAAGAGATATGTATAATTTTAATTCATAATTAAAATTACATTGGAAAAAAATGTAATTTTAATTCATAATTAAAATTACATTGGAAATAATGTGGCTTTACTGTCAAGAAATGGAGGTAAATGCTGAGTTAACTTCAGAAGAACTGGACGATCAGGAGCAAACTAGTACAAATGATGTAAGAAGACAGTTGAAAAATCAGTCAGAGAAGCAAGAAGTGTTAAGGCAAATGCACCTTAGTATCCAGTTAGAAAAGAACAGTCCTTAATGAGATGTGAATCAGATGTAGAAATGAAAGAGAGGTATAAATAGGGTACTGAAAATATGTAAAGTAAAAGGACACAAGCGCAACTATAAAATGTCACCAAACCATACCCCCAGCCGGGATTGAACCCGCGGTCATAGTCTCAAAACTCCAGCCCGTCATTACGATTTCTTGAGTCATAAAATGTCACATTAGTTGCACTTGTGTCCTTTTACTTTACATATTGTCGGTAATTCTACCAACTTTATTACTGAAAATATGTAACCCAGATAGAACTCGAAACGGTGGATTAAAAGTGAATAAAATGAGATTTAGAAAGGATATAGACAAGCACTGGTTTGGCCATAGCTGCAGGCCTGTGGATCAAACTTCAGTTATGCATAACATAATTGAAGCTAATACTAAGGGTAGCTTTAAGAGTGAGTAATACAGATACCTGAGTGTGAGATGGACTTGCTTAGAAAGTGCTAGGAGACATACTGCAGTCTTTTTGATACTCATGAGATTTCTCTCGTCACTAGTGTCGGCAGGACGTGTGTGACTCAGACGAGGTGTGTGACGAGGGATCGAGGCGCTGGTGTGGCTCCAGCCTGGCAGGTGGTGCTGCTGCTGGTGGTAATGGCGGATGCCAATACCAGGTCCTTGCTCAGGCTGCCCACGTCGAAGTGGACAAACTTAGGCAACTCGTCCACCTCCTCAATTCCAGGTGAGTCAGTAAATTCACCCACTAGGTAAGCCATTGAATTTCAAGCTTTATCAGTGCTAATTTTAAAAAGTAAAATAGGAACTAAAGAGCAACATAGGTAAGTAAAAAGGGATATAGATTATGAGTCAACAGGACTTCAGGCATAAATTCATCCTATAAATGTATCTTGCAAGTTTTTTATTTGGCTACCTTAATTTATAAAACATTTTACAAAAAGTAAAATCAGTGTACGTAACACACTTACAGCATAGTTTTTCCTGTCATATTCCATCACAGAATTTTCCTGTCATACTCACATAATGGTTTTTGTCACTTCATCACACGGTGTTTTTTCCTGTCATACTTTATCACACAGTATTTTTTTTTTTTGTCATATTCCATTATAAGATGAAGGCAGGGAAATGTAAGATCAGATTCACTGAGATGTTACCTGTACTCAAGGTGAAATCGGAACTAGTGTTTCTCTGATATTGCAATGTTTTTCTTTATTTTTTAAGTTTTTTTTTTTTTTGAGGAGGGGGATTGCTGAAGATGAATAAATGTAAGATCTGTTGCCTGTACTCAAATTGGTATTTGAGTTTGTTTCCTCAATATTACTACGATTTATTTTATCATTAATAAAGTTGAGAAGTATTCTCCTGTTCAGTTTATGGTCCGTAAACGTTCTCATTGCTAAACATTAGTCACTGGTCATGTAGTAGTGACATAACTAGTTTATCCCCCACCCTTGAATATTATGGGGGCGACACCGGAGATTTCGCCCCGGGTGACACCAACTCTAGCGACGCCTCTGGAACCTGAACCTGGAGACTACAGTAAGGCGAGAATATAAAAAAAATCATTATAGGTTCAGTAGCTCTTTTTTTTGTTTAAATAATACACGTTTAGCGCTAAACTCACATGGGACATTCAGCGCAAGACGTAATGGAGGCTTGATCTTCCGTCTGCTGAACGCAAGACAGACGCGCTCCCTATTTGTACTCACCCAAGTGTTAGTAGCTCGTATGCCCTTCCAGCAGGTATATTATTATAATAAAAAAGAAGCGCTAAGCCACAAGGGCTATACAGCTCCAGCAGGTATAAAGAAATGTAATGCAGAACAAGCCTTTATTTTCGACGATATTTTGCTCAGGATTGAACTTCATCATTATTATTATTATTATAATCAAAAAGAAGCGCTAAGCCACAAGGGCTATACAGCGCTGCAGGGCAGGAAGGAAGCGAGGGCATCAGGTGGCAAAAGGGAGATGGATGAGGAATAGGTTACGAATAACAGCGGGGCAGTGGATGGTGAAAGGGTAAAGGGCAGCAAGAGACTGAGCTAGAAAGGGCTGAGGGGAGTGCGAAAGGTATCATCATCAGAGTTTGTGGAGTTGAACTTCATCAAATGTACAGAAAAGATCTAAAGTACATTCTTGTAAGGTGGAGAGGCATCAGGGACCTTTACTGAAGCTCGAGTCTTTTTGAATCACTATTATTGTATTAGCATATTGCTGCATCAGTCTCCACATCACTATCATGTTAGTACAGTATTGTACATGTAGCCCTGTATATTCAGCCTAATTATTGTCACACATGACTTCACAGACTGACAGAGCTGAGTGGGAAGATGCTGGAGGCAGAGGCGAGGCTACGAGAGGAGCACCAGAGATCAGCCATCATGGAGCGCTGTCTAGAACGACGGGCTCTAGAGGCTGCTCCCTGTACAGGTAACATTATTCATTATTATAATCATGGGCAAGTGTTAGACTTATGAATCATATAGCGCCTGTGGTATAGGAGGTAATCAGATTTGATCTGAGAAAGGGGAGAGTAACTGCAACTCCTTGGATTATTATTATTAATAGAGAAGTACTAAACTCGCATTAGTTATACAGCACCTGGGAAATGGGAGGCAAATAAGTTTCAATTCAAAAAAGGGAAAAATCCAATTTCTTTGGAGCCATTCACCAGTATCAAAACACTTTGAGGTAGCATCCCTCTTGAAAGATCCTAAAGAATTAAATGCCTCATGATCACACATGAGTGTACCCAGTTGCACCACATCATCAGTGTTTACCTGGAGAGAGTTCCGGGGGTCAACGCCCCCGTGGCCTGGTCTGTGACCAGGCCTCCTGGTGGATCAGAGCCTGATCAACCAGGCTGTTACTGCTGGCTGCACGCAAACCAACGTACGAGCCACAGCCCGGCTGGTCAGGAACTGACTTTAGGTGCTTGTCCAGTGCCAGCTTGAAGACTGCCAGGGGTCTGTTGGTAATCCCCCTTATGTATGCTGGGAGACAGTTGAACAGTCTCGGGCCCCTGACACTTATTGTATGATCTCTTAACGTGCTAGTGACATCCCTGCTTTTCATTGGGGGGATGTTGCATCGTCTGCCAAGTCGTTTGCTTTCGTAGTGAGTGATTTTCGTGTGCAAGTTCGGTACTAGTCCCTCTAGGATTTTCCAGGTGTATATAATCATGTATCTCTCCCGCTGCATTCCAGGGAATACATAAGCATACCATGTTGCTCCTTATCAGGAGTGGCTTTCTTTTGTACCTGTCAATGTTTTATTACATGTGAACTACATTGTGTACTGCATGAAGGAATAAAAATTTGTATTTGTATCTTGTTACAGATGAGAATGGTGGGTGGCGTGGGAGCAGGTCGCCTCACCCAAGCGGAGAGAGCACCAGTGGAAGAAGACACGGACCCTCTGTCCTGGCATGGGGTGATGCAGCCACTGAGAATCTACTCAGAAACAAGTGAGTGAAGAACAAGTATAGTGATACTGACAATGTGTACATAAAATGTGCAGTGCAAGATGTTTGAGGAAATTTTTTGCAAGGTAGGGATTCATCAGACAGCAGCCAAGCATGATGAAATGTTTCACAATAAATGTCTTAATTGTGCATATGTCTTTTCAACAACAAATGAGTCTCCTGATCTCGTATCACATTCAAGATGTGCCAGATTCACAGTGTGTGTCCTAGTACATTGGCAAAGTGTATGGATAGTGGGTGAAAGACATGTATGCACTGACCAAGACATTTATTAAGGAAACATTTCCTAAGAGATGTCTTGATCATTGCACAAGTCTCACCTACAGTTTGCCGGTATTACCATACTATTTCCACCTGATGTATGATTAACTTGTGCAATTCAAATTTTTTATTATGGATAGGTAGTTGATCCCATTGAGTTGAAACCCTTTTATTAAATGTGACTTTTGGTATCTTGGCAGAGTTGAGATGGCGAGAGAAGAAATTGAGCTCCTACGGCAACACATTGACCTGCTCTTACGCATGCGGCAAGAGGACCTCAAGGTCTACGAGTCAACGGTGGACAAATTTCGACACACAATAGCCTCGGGGAGCCAGTGGTAGAATTCAAGGCACTATCTTAGTCCATATAAGTAAATACTAGGAAAGGTAGCCTCAAAAACCCATATAAACAAATTTAAAAAAGCAAGCCTATGGTAAATAACAGAGGACATCTCAGGTAACCAAAGGAAGAGAATGGCATGTTAACAACCCAGTGAACCTGAATATTAGTATATATGGTAGGTTTAGAAATCCAGTAGTCAAGGATGTTAGGATATAATAGCTTCAGGAAGCCAATGGAGGTTTTAACTTGAACATAGTTGTACTAGGAAGTTCATTTTAAGTATGTACTAATACTCATTATTGTTACTTAACTATGTACATCTTCAGTACACTGCATCATTCATTCATTGTTAACTGTACATCACTACACTGCATCATTCATTCCTGTTACTTAGCTCTCTACATCTTCATGCCATTCATTCTTATTACTCAAGTTTGCATGTCTTTACTACACTGAATCATTCATTTTCACTAGATTCTGCACATCATTACTTCTGAATGTTGCACATCTTGGTTTCAACATAGAGGATGAAGCCTGGACAGAGGATCAAGCCTCCAGTGCCACTGTGCTAAATAATACACAAAAGGTTTTGTGCATCATGAAATACCTTCAAAACCATTATTCCAACTTAATTCAGTGGCCTCGTATATTTATATTGAGTATAACATCAATTATAAACATGGTCTATAGATAAGGAATAAAAATGTCTGCACAGATGCAATTAGTATTTATCTCCTCAATAAGGCTCTCTACTTATAATTTTTGCAGGATTACTATGAGGCATAGGGTGTTAGAGAATATTTACAGTAATAGAAAAGTACCATTGTAAAAATTTGGAATGTATTCTGTTGGAACATCAACAGTGTTGCAGAAGAGCCTACGTGTGTGAATATGTAATAAAATATTCCAGCAGTGGGAACCTATTAAGGCATACGCTGCCTCCAAAACATTTTGGATTTGGTAAAGTAAACTGAATACATGGAAAAACTTTCCTCTGGGCCAACAACTGGATGAGATGACCAGCACCATGTGTGTGTCATCAGCTCTTGAAAATTATAATAGGCATGAAATTACATTCTTTACATGTACAACAGTCTGGTATTTATATTTATACAAAACAAAGGTAAACAAAGCTATCACCACCAGTGTAATATATATTTATGGTGCAATAAAAGCTGGTATGTGGTTTATGGATTGGTCCCCAGATGTGCTAATGAAACTCATAAAGGATTTGGACTACCAGAAACATTCCCCAACCTGACACGATACGTAATAATCTAAAATACATACATCCAATGGTAACATCAAATTTTTATAACAGTTAAAAGCTTATTTCAATGTGAGCAAATGAAGGGAAGCCTTGGCAGTGCAACCCCAGAATTATATATAACAGATATCAAGACTTCCCACCTTCCAGTTGATGAATTCCAAATTTGACATGTGGTTAAGAGATTGGAAGAAATGCACTCTCTCTGGATCCACACACACACACTATCACCAGATTCAGAAGCACTATTGGTGGATCCACAAGCGCTTCCGAGTATGAAAGATGAGATAAACCATAGAATATTTTATATTTATCATGGGGGAAGCACTGAACCCATAGGCATCATAGCACCTGGAAAATGAGTAATTCAGGTTTGATCCAAGGGAAGATAAGTCCAGGTTAAAACCACAGAAGAGTGGGGAAAAAGTGGGTGGTGCAATGAGTCATCTGTACTGACAAAGAGCTTTATCCATGGAGACAAAAGGGAAAATGTACCGAAGTAGGCTTCAAATGGTGCAGTAAGGATGAAGCTGGAGGCAGTGATGCTACGCTGAGGGTGAGTATTATGCAGAGAATTTAGAGATGGAGATAAGGTGTGGGCTTAGGAGGGGTTGTTGAGGTGGTTTGGGCACTTACGAGAGGGTGGAGCAAAATAGGATGGCTAGGAGGGTATAGAAAGCCAGGAGGATGGAAAAAAAAAAAAGTAATCCCAGGAAGAATTGGGGGGGTGTAAAAGTGTGAATAAGAACATAATAAAGAAGGAACATTGCAACAGGCCTACTGACCCATGCAGAGCAGGGTCAGTAGGCCCCCCCGGATTAGCCCAATAACCCACCCAGTCTGGTCACCTCCACTCAAGGAAGGAGCACGGCACCAGACCCATCAGCACAAGCTAGTCAGGTCCAACTCAGACCCATTCATGTATTTATCTAACCTATTGGCAGTTTGGAGGGATATGTTGTGTATCTTTATACATATATGCTTCTAAACTGTTGTATTCTGAGCACCTCTGCAAAAACAGTGATAATGTGTGTGTGGTGAAAGTGTTGAATGATGATGAAAGTATTTTCTTTTTAGGGATTTTCTTTCTTTTTTGGGTCACCCTGCCTCGGTGGGAGACGGCCGACTTGTTGAAAAAAAAAAATTAAAACTACACGTTTTAGCCTGAATAACTGTACTCGAGAGTTTGTTCCACTCATCCACAACTATTACCAAACCAGTGCTTTCCTATATCCTTCCTGAATCTGAATTTTTCCAACTTGAAACCATTGCTGCGAGTCCTGTCTTGTCTGGAAATTTTCAGCACGCTATTTACATCCCCTTTATTTATTCCCGTTTTCCATTTATACACCTCTATCATATTCCCCCTAATTCTACGCCTTTTGAGAGAGTGCAGATTCAGGGCCCTCAGTCTATCCTCATAGGGAAGATTTCTGATACATGGGATCATCTTTGTCATCCTCCTCTATGTTTTCCAGAGCATTTATATCCATTCTGTAATACGGTGACCAGAACTGAGCAGCACAGTAGAAGCTTGGCCATCAACCAGGCTTATGAAAGTATGTAGAGAGGAGCGAGTAGATGTGGGTTTTGTGGCCTGTGCTGTTGGGGGTGTGAGCAAGTTAATGTTTATGAAAGGACTCAGGGAGACCAGTTAGCTGAACTTGAGTTCTGAGGTGGGAAGTACAAAGGCTGAATATTTGGATGTTGCAGTTCAGAAGGCCATCTAAACTATGTCAACATCCTTTTTTTTTTTCAGACATCAAATGTTGGAAACACAAGTAGGTACAATTTACTATATCAAAAAATGTTCACCAGCATAGTTATTGATTTTAGAGATGTGGAGAAAGTCATGTTCAGTACTAGATGTAGTTTTAATGGTTCTAAGTAATTTCATAATTGTTTATTTACATCACTGAACAATATTACTTTATATTCTTTAAATCTGTCATTGATATTAATATGGTCACAAAGTGCTGCAAGGCTAAGGCCAGTAGCAAAGGGAAGAAACCTGAAAGGTGAACTTGAGAGTCAACAAGAAACGTCGAAGTTGGCATAAATAAATTTCAATCAAAAGTCGGTGTCCACAATGAATACGGGGGCTTTCTGAAAGGAGAGCAGGCAAGGTAAGTGCACCCAGGCATTGGAAAAAAATTTAAAAAATTGGAATGCAGTATTTGCTCTTTGATATATGGTACAGTGAAAAGGTGTCTAACAAACAAGAGCTGACAAATTTCACAAAGGTGTGCTGGACACCTTTCCACATGCATCTTGTGCGACTAAAAATAATTACCCAAAGTGTCTGAAAAAGATTGATCTCTGCAAGAGATTAAAAGTTTCAGAATCATGAAATGTGCAGATTCTGAAAGTTCATTGCCCTGAACACCAGCAAAAGACAATGTGTATGTTTGCCGAAGAGGATGCACAACCAAATTTAAACACACAGTGAAAGCTTCAAAAATCTTGTAGTGCATTTGAAGGGAAGCTTCAACAAAGTGGGAAGTAATGTGAATAATAGCCATGCTACAAGTGTGCAGAAAAGGGTGGCAGATAGAGAAGCAACTATACAGAAAGCTAAGATTAAAGACATAAACAAGGAAGATGACCATTTGAAAGTGTTGGCTTTATTAGTCTGATTATTCTGAACATCACACAGTCATGAAGACTATGCAAGCGGAGAAGATAACTTAAAACGAATCTCTACGGTTTTATAATGAAGAAACATAAGACTAAACACAGGCTTTCAAAAAGGCACCAGACACACACATTGCTTTGATGATTAATGACTAAACTTGGAATGAAGAGCTGTTCATGAAGCAGATTAACACACTGTCCCCATAATCAAATTTAGATAGAGCCAAGGCTGTATGAAGACAAACTCGCCTATTGAGCCGCAGGCAAAATGTGGCAAAGCTAAGATATGCGACCTTAAAGTATGTCATGTGAAATTTTCATGACATCGTACAATTATATATTACAAAACACATGTCACTCCCAATAAACTTTCCCCACACATACTTTCCCAATAACTCTACTAGAAAATTAGTAAGGTGTGAAGAAAAGTACATACTTTAAAATTAAAACTTTCATTTATTCCTTTTAGCAGCATCGTTCGCCCAAAGCCCATTATTTTAATGATTTATACACTATCATTGAAGTTACCATGCCCCTTGAGAGGAGGAAGTAGGAAAACTCCACAAACTAAAAAAAAAGGCACAAGATTATTTTAAAATTAACCTTGTGCCTATATACATTCATAAAAAAGTGATTCCATGGTTTAAATACAAAGTTCATTATTACTTAGCCTACAGAAAGACTATTTCATATTATTGTCAGCAATTAATTCATGCCATAAATCTGAATATCAGATATAGTATATTGTTATATAAATATATAATATGACGCCTTCAGTCATACATTTTCAAAAGGGGGGGGGGATGTTGCCAAGGACTACATTACTCCCAAATACCAGATTTAAAATAATGCACTGTCTGCCCTCAGTATTAAAATAATAAATTTAATTACCTGAAAATCTATGACCTATGGTGTAATTTTATTTCAATACTTGCTAAAGCAAAAAATTTCTTAAGATAGAAAAACACATGAAAATACCCAGAGATATTTATAAAAATACAAAGGTACAGTCTTGTGTATTTTAGTACGGCATGTGGCGAGTAATTTAAATTATTGGACTCCTACTACCATACAAAACTTGACAAGCAGAGTAATAAATAGAGGGAGATATCATTAAGATATCCAGATATTTTTGAACTTCAAGGTGACAAAGATGTAGCACACAAATTTCAATTCATAATCTCTTTAATGTTCTTTTTTTATCTTTTAAAACTTTTTTACGATCAGCTGTGATCTTCTTGTCTGTAGCATGTTTCTTTGCCTGGGGACCATCTTGACTTGTTCCTTCTCCACTGGGCTCACCTTTACACACTTTAGGACCCTGAAAGAAATGGAAAATTTGCACATTTTTTATTTATTTGATGGATATTCAAAGCCTTACCAAATTAGTTTCATAATTATTTTTGATAAAAGTGGTCACCTGTTGTAGGTGAAGAGATAGATTATACTTTAAATATTGCTGTTATAAAGTTCCAGCCAATGCCAGATTACTAGCCAGGGTCATCAACAATCTGGAGTTAGTCACTGCAGCCAGTCAGTCTTAATAGTGCTTAAGTAATAGTAATTGTGAAACCATTTTAAATTATAATTTGTTTCTACCTTAATGTAAGTGCTATTGGAGAAATCTTTGAAAAGGAAGGTGCGCACTTTACAGACACACACACCATAGTATATCTAGTTAATGCAATTATATTCGATTACAGTATTTCCCTTCATTAATTTCCCAAATGAAAACACTTTATTAGTGTGACTAGGGTGCATTAATATTCTTGTTTTATATGCACATCTTATTCCTGTTTGCATTTTCTTTATATATCATTTTGACTAACAACCCTGCACCTGTAGTAATGTGCAAGTGGCAGCTATCTTAACACTGAAAAATTTAAATAAGTGGAGAGAAGAGGTAAAATGGATTTTGAGAGCTAGGGACTAGGATGTCCAACAGGCTTGTGTGAGTGCATTAGCTAAGAGTGTGGAGGCAAGTGGTTATGACTTGTGCTGTCAGTGTGTGAGGAAAGTAACATTTATGAAGGAATTTATGGAAACCAATTTGCCAGGCTAGAGTCCGGGAGATGGGAAGCACAGTGCCGGCAATCTTGGAGAGGTAGGGATGTTGCAGTCTGGAAGATCTGAACTGTAATGTCAACACACTTCTAGCAAGATAGTTTAAGAACTTTCTCTTTTTGGGTAACCCTACCTTGGTGGGAGTTGGCTGTTGTGTTAAAACAAAAGGTCAACAGACTATATGTAACATGTTTAAGTTAATACATGCTGTGTATATATTCTAACAGCTGTTTCCCACTGAGAGAGAATGGAAAATTAAATTTTAAGTTACAAAAATGAAAATGGACTAATGCCCATAGATATGCAGCCACAAACAAACTCAATACTGATCAACCTTATCTGATCAAATTGCAATAAATATAAATCTAACAAAAAATACAATAATTTACCAAAGTTACTAACTAATTTAGCTAAATTTCCAATTTAGCTGATAATACCAGGTGTTTACAGTGAAACATATAAGTGAACAGTATTTAGATAAGGCTAAAGAGGTCTTTGTGGCATTTATGGATTTGGAAAAGGCGTATGACAGGGTGGATAGGGGGGCAATGTGGCAGATGTTGCAGGTGTATGGTGTAGGAGGCAGGTTACTGAAAGCAGTGAAGAGTTTTTACGAGGATAGTGAGGCTCAAGTTAGAGTATGTAGGAAAGAGGGAAATTATTTCCCAGTAAAAGTAGGCCTTACACAAGGATGTGTGATGTCACCATGGTTGTTTAATATATTTATAGATGGGGTTGTAAGAGAAGTAAATGCGAGGGTCTTGGCAAGAGGCGTGGAGTTAAAAGATAAAGAATCACACAAAGTGGGAGTTGTCACAGTTGCTCTTTGCTGATGACACTGTGCTCTTGGGAGATTCTGAAGAGAAGTTGCAGAGATTGGTGGATGAATTTGGTAGGGTGTGCAAAAGAAGTAAATTGAAAGTGAATACAGGAAAGAGTAAGGTTATGAGGATAACAAAAAGATTAGGTGATGAAAGATTGGATATCAGATTGGAGGGAGAGAGTATGGAGGAGGTGAATGTATTCAGATATTTGGGAGTGGACGTGTCAGCGGATGGGTCTATGAAAGATGAGGTGAATCATAGAATTGATGAGGGGAAAAGGGTGAGTGGTGCACTTAGGAGTCTGTGGAGACAAAGAACTTTATCCTTGGAGGCAAAGAGGGGTATGTATGAGAGTATAGTTTTACCAACGCTCTTATATGGTGTGAAGCATGGTGATGAATGTTGCAGCGAGGAGAAGGCTGGAGGCAGTGGAGATGTCATGTCTGAGAGCAATGTGTGGTGTGAATATAATGCAGAGAATTCGTAGTTTGGAAGTTAGGAGGTGAGGGATTACCAAAACTGTTGTCCAGAGGGCTGAGGAAGGGTTGTTGAGGTGGTTCGGACATGTGGAGAGAATGGAGCGAAACAGAATAACTTCAAGAGTGTATCAGTCTGTAGTGGAAGGAAGGTGGGGTAGGGGTCGGCCTAGGAAAGGTTGGAGGGAGGGGGTAAAGGAGGTTTTGTGTGCGAGGGGCTTGGACTTCCAGCAGGCATGCGTGAGCGTGTTTGATAGGAGTGAATGGAGACAAATGGTTTTTAATACTTGATGCGCTGTTGGAGTGTGAGCAAAGTAACATTTATGAAGGGGTTCAGGGAAACCGGCAGGCCGGACTTGAGTCCTGGAGATGGGAAGTACAGTGCCTGCACTCTGAAGGAGGGGTGTTAATGTTGCAGTTTAAAAACTGTAGTGTAAAGCACCCTTCTGGCAAGACAGTGATGGAGTGAATGATGGTGAAAGTTTTTCTTTTTCGGGCCACCCTGCCTTGGTGAGAATCGGCCAGTGTGATAATAATAAAATAATAATTTCCAGTAGCAATAGGTAGCCTGGCATACGAAATATTATTCCCACCTGCATTTTGGCTTCAAAATAAATCTTCCATAAAAGATAAACTATAACTTAATATGAAACTCACAACTATAACCCAACCCTCAACATCTGCAAGATATTTAGCATATACCTCATAGATATTAATTTTTTTTTTTTTTAACAAGTCGGCCGTCTCCCACCGAGGCAGAGTGGCCCAAAAAGAAAGAAAATTCCCCCCAAAAATAACCATAGATAATGTTTTTTTGTCTCCATATATACCTCAATGCACCACTCACCTTTTTTCACTCATCAATTCTATGATTAAACATATACCTCAAATTAACCTGGAAAAATCTATGTATTTTAGCATATTTGAATGCTTTGGTACCAATAATTTCCTAATTTGGCATTTGCATTTAGTGAAAATTATTTGTTTTCTAACGTACATGTAACCCTGAAAAAACTGAATTCTATTAAATAATCTGGTACTATTTAAAACTATTTTTGAGGCTTTACAAATGAATTTCATTTTGATTTTTTCACAATGAATTTTTATTCAAACCAAAAAAAAGATTTACTGTTATGCAATATTGTAATAATTGTATAAATATCATCACCACATTTGTGAATGTATATTAGACCCACCAGATGGTGTGTATTAGACATGTGAGATCATTTGTTTACTCTTGAACATCGACAAAAATTTAACATTTCCGCTACTTTGAGCTCAGTTTCAACCCATTTCCAGTGCTAAAACCAATCAAAATCATCTCTATTTCTGTAATATATCTTCCGTTCTATCAAATGAGACCAAGAAATTGCAAATACAACTATAAAAAACATATGAAAAAACACTGCAAAGTCGCTGTTTTAATCGAAAATCACGGTCTCAGTTTTTTCTCATTATACACTGTGCTGCAGGATTTGTTTTATGCAGTGCACACATACCACATAGATGTATTCTCTCATATCTAGGCCCAAATTTACCACTCACAGCTTATCAGAGTGAGCTGAGCTCATGGCATAGATCTACGGTTTGGACCCTGAACGGAAAGCTGTAGATCTACAGCACGGACCCTGAAAGGGTTAAAGTATAACACACTGGACTAATGCAGAAGTGTGTAACATTTACTGATAATCTTTTGCTCATGAGAAAGTAAAAATTAGAGCATTCCACCGTAAGCAGCAAAGGTTTAGCATGTTCACATTTCACTCATGACACAGGACAATAGTATTGCACCTCCATGGTTAGTTGTCTACAAACTTACTCTGCTAGATTATCCAATTCTCAATACAAATAAAAAAAAGGTGTTAATTATTGTATCATTTGAAAATCTACTGAATTAGACTTTTCTATGCCAATAAATAGCTGCTGTAGCATTATGAAATGAGCCTAAACAGATATGGAAAATACAGCACTACTCTGCAAAGAGTATTACATAATCTTACCTGTGCATGGATTTCAGTTATCATCTTTGCTCTAGCAGCATAATCATCATAGGCCTCAAGTAAGAGTTTTCCTGCCTCCTCATTTAAGGCAGACTCAGCATTAGGTACAATCAGCAGACACTTTATTACCTGCAATAAGAAAAACCCAGACATATACAGTAAAAGTTGGCACTAAATCTGTATAAATGTACAGTAGATTGTGTTTATAAACCTTTAATTAACGATGATGGTAGCTCTTCCTGCCCTGCAGCTCAGTTAAAGAGCATACTGAACTTGTATGAATAAAGAATACTTTTCAAGATTTTTTTTTTAAGGCAGACCTAGGGTACACTGTTATAGCTAGAATAATATTAACAAGCAACCACAAGGGAAAATAAAATGAGTTGAGGAAAAGACACTTAGGAAATTTTCAGGGGCACAGCAATAAGAAAATTCTGATTTTTTTTTTCTAAAAATAGTCACTTAAAATGAACATATATTTGAGAGAATTTCAGAATTCAAAATTTCACTTGCCTGGAAAGGTAAAAATTTGAGATCTGTATGAATTTGGGTTTTGTTTGTAAATTTCGAAAATTCAGAAAGAATAAAACGAATTAAAGAAAATTAGTTTTTTCTTGAGCTGTATTACCTTACCTTCTGCTCACTGGATATATTCCCAAATCAGTACACTGCTATAACAATATACTGAAGTAAGAGATATAGGACGAAGTGCAAAGTAAACCCAGTCAAAAGTACAATATGGGTGGGTAAAATATGAGAACATAATACAAACATCTGTGGCCCCAGACTATTTAACATCTTACCAGATGATATCAAACACTGTTGGAATAAGTGAAGAAATCTCAAGAGGAAACCAGACAAGTACCTCCACCAAGTGTCAGATCAACCAGGCTGTAATGGATAAGTGGGCCAACAGCAAGACTGATTAACCATGCAAACACCTGCTAAGCCTGGTCCAAGGCCAGGTTCCAGTAGAAAAACTCATGGTATGGTAAGCTAACCCTTTTCTTTCTTTGAGCAACGATGATGATGAACTGTTTTCAATGATTCAGATGGATTAATTTTTATAAATTATCATAACATACATCTCAGAACATTAAATTCTATGAATTGTGGGGGAATCCCAGGGCTCTCCTTCCTTCCTTCCTGCCTGCCCGCCTGCAGTGAATGCAATTTAAGTGCTACAGGTTCTGCTTTTAACTCAACAGCCATCATTTAATCCACCAGACTAGCTTCTTTTGATGAAAATGGACAAAGCCATTAAACAAGGCAAACAGTAAAAGCTATTACACAAACCTGACTGGCAACCCACAATGTTTTTACCTAACAAAATTCTGCCAATATTTTCAGCATACCCAAATCTTTCATAGCATTACAGCAGCCACTGACAATACATCTATGCACTCTGCCCCAGGCATATCTATGTTTAAAGTGAATGATTGCAGTAGTACGGCCATTCTGGATATATCTAGACATACAACCAAGGTATACCTTGCACAGATATTGATCATAATGAAAACACTTAATGATACATATGAAATCTTAAAAGATTACAATCACATTTTTCTTGGAGACAAGAGATATTTTATCACAAAGAACCCACTTACCAAAAGTACATGTCTAATTCCGAGGTCAGCCTTCCAATCTTTCTTTAATGTATTAACACAGATCTCTCCATTCGATGCAACATTAGGGTGAAAGATCTTGGTGAGGAAGTAACCCTTTGGAGGAACATTTGGAAAGTCCTTGCCAAGGGCTAATTTGACACGAAACATTCCTCCAGCATATGGTGTGCCAGCTGCAAAAAATATGCAATTTTATAGGATTTGGAAATATAGTATGAAGTTTACAGATTCCTTAACACACAAAATAAAAATATTCTAGTTTTTGGTCAAGATTTCCTAAATATGCCAAAGTTTATAATACCAATTTGATTTTTTTTTCAAGATTCTACATGTAATCAAGTCATAAAGACTGACAATAAACAAATACAGTGGACCCCCGGTTAATGATATTTTTTCATTCCAGAAGTATATTCAGGTGCCAGTACTGACCGAATTTGTTCCCATAAGGAATATTGTGAAGTAGATTAGTCCATTTCAGACCCCCAAACGTACACGTACAAACGCACTTACATAAATACACTTACATAATTGGTTGCATTGGGAGGCGATCGTTAAGCGGGGGTCCACTGTATTTGAATAACAGTTTAAAAAAGTACAGATAAAACCTAGATTTAACTAATTTTGGGTTTAACCCTTAAACTGTCCAGACAGATCTGCATTCACATGCGTAGTGCTCCAAAAGTAGATCTACGTTTTTTAACATTTTCAAATATAACAAAAAAATGTAGATCAAAGTTTTTTCACACGTTTTCAAATGTAAAAAAAGAAAAAGAAGCTCTCTGTTTTTTTATATACTTTCAAATGTTGAAAAAACGTAGATCTACGTTTGGACAGTTTAAAGGGTTAATAAAAGCTGTACTGGAACAATGGACAAAGTCTGCCAAGTCCAGAATTATCAGGTATTGTTACTGTCTGCTGGGTAAATTAATTTAGGATTTGAGGGACATTTTGTTAAATCCAAAATAATCTGTTTTCATCATTGAAAAACAATATCTTGTTTAGATTTAAAGAACAATTGCTACTAATGGACACTCCTTCTGCCTATAAGCCAGTTAAATTCATATTTCACTGAACCAGTGATAATGTGCTCAGAAAAATTCCTGCAATGGACAACAAATACATTTCTCATTCAGTACAATTTCTTTTTAAATCTCACACACTTAAGGCTACTAGCAAATTTAGTCTAAACATGTCTAAACAGGTGTTCTGAGCACCTCTGCAAAAACAGTGATTATGTGTGAGTGAGGTGAAAGTGTTGAATGATGATGAAAGTATTTTCTTTTTGGGGATTTTCTTTCTTTTTGGGTCACCCTGCCTCGGTGGGAGACGGCCGACTTGAAAAAAAAAGAAAAATCCATTTTTTTTTCCTAGCATGTAGTGTATTTCTACTGTGTCACTGCTTAGCTTATTCCATGTCTTTAGCACTTTTATAGCCAAGAACACAGTGGAAGCTCAGTACTCAAACAACTCCCTGCTCAAACAATTCAGTACTCGAACGCTTTATTCAGTAAAAAAAAAAATCGCTCGTTTGGTAGTCTACCACTTGATCAGCACTCGACGAAACATACACGACCTACCAGAACTTCGCTGTAAACTATTTTGAGTTTCTTCGCATTTTTTGGCGTTTTTTTTATATTATTTGTGTAAGTCACCCTGGGACCTAAGAAGATTAGTGATAACAGCCAACAAAAAAGAAAATTGGTTGGGAAAAATTCATTCGGTACTTGAATAGCCTTCTGGAACGAATTAAGTTTGAGTACCTAGGTTCCATCCACTGTATATCCAGAAAGCCACTGACTTATCTGGTGTGTAATTTTCAACTGTATCCACTTGTTTTTGTTACATCCCTGATAGAGCTTGTCCGTATCTATCACCCACAATACCATGTACATGCAGCATGTTGCAATTGTATCCCCTAACTCAGGTGCTAGCCTTTCTTGCACTCTTTTATATTTTCTCAAATTTTCCTCTTATACTATCTGAGGGTTCTCCACTAGTGCTACATATTCAAGAATGACTTAATTGCAAGTGACCTCAGCTCACACACAGGTTCAGGTACAACATTGGGCATGTTTCCTTACACCTGCTGCCCTTGTTCAGTTACCAGTAAGCAGGTATCTGGGTGATAGCCAGCTGACAGTAAGTAGGTATCTGGGTTACATCTAGGGTTGACAAAAATTAACACAAGTTCCCCAAAATGCTCGACATAACCAGAGCGTTTTATGTAGTATGTGAATGTTGTCAACTAGGTCTATATTAGTTATATCAATGTACTTGTAGAAATGAAGAAACAAAAGTACTCTGAACAAGTCTTTGCTGTCGAGTTTCCAAAATGAGAATATGTTTGCAAGTAAAGGGCATACCAGGAGGGGATTCCAGGGGGTCAACGCCCCTGTGGCCCAGTCCATGAGCAGGCCTCACAGTGGATCAGGGTCTGATCACATTAGTCACAATAATATAGACCATAAACTAGAGCTCACTCTGCAAACTCAAATAGGTAATTAAAAATAGGTAAAGCACTGTACATTATACAAGTACATACATATATTACCACTACACTCATTTGCCAAACTCTTGGATACCATAATTAATAATTATATGGTTTCCTATTTGATTTAACATGGGCTGTTGTTTAAATTTTAAAAAAAATTATGTAATTAGTACTGATAGTTATCATTATCTTCTGCGTTTTAGTAATCTCTACAGGAAAAGGGGTTACTAGCCCATTGTTCCTGGCATTTTAGTTGACTTTTACAACATGCATGCCTTACAGAGGAAAGATTCTTATTCCACTTCCCCATGGATGTAAACGGAAAAGTAATAAGAACAAGAACTATTAAAAGAAAATAAAAAAGACTCAGATGAGTGTGTATAAATAAATATGTACATGTATATGTAGTGTGGCCCAAGTGTAAGTAGAAGTAGCAAGACGTACCTGTAATCTTGCATATTTATGAGACAGACAAAGGACACCAGCAATCCTACTATCATGTAAAACATTACAGGTTTTCGTTTTACACTCACTTGGCAGGACGGTAGTACCTCACTGGGTGGTTGCTGTCTACCAACCTACTATCTACCTACTACCCTGCCTCGGTAGGAGACGGCCAACTTGTTAAAAAAAAGTTATTATTATCACCTATTAATAAGACTGTCCTATAATTTTCTTGCTATTGCAATTTTCCTTTCGTGTTGTACACCAACATTTTTATCAAGACAAGAAAAAATTAATAAAATTAAAAGAATTTAAATTTCAATATTATTTTACCACTCACCAGGCCCTGCTATGGTTGCCTGGATGTCTGTTATATCTTCATCATTCATGTGAACTTTGATGCCCTCTGGTGGACCCTTTACCAGCTCTGTCATTTCCTTCATAACTCCTCTTAATATCTGGGGTGATAGATTTTCCACGTTGCTCGTCTGAAAGAAACAAGTCAGAGTATAAGGTAAGAAACAACTATCAGAGAAACAGAGGTCATTTCTGTTAATGGTTCCAGGATCACCACCCCTGTGGACCGATCTCATATCATGCCTCCTAAGTTGAAAAAGAAATATTACAGGAACGAGAACAGTAAGAAACGCTTAGGAAAGTAAAGCCAAGTGTAAATGGAATTTAAATGTAGAAGGTTGTAAGATTTACCTGTAGACTTGGTACCTCGTAGCGCAGTTGTTAGTGCGCTTGGCTCACATCCGAGAGGATGTGGGGTCGAACCCCACTACAAGGCAGGACGTATGGCTAGTCTCCTAACACCTACTGCCCCTGTTACCTAGCAGTAAATAGATATCTGGGAGTTAATCTAGTGTTGTGTCGCATCCTGGGGAGGACCTAATAGGACCCCAATGGAAATAAGTCACATTGATTGTTTTACTGGGCTATCCTGGGTTACTAACCCTTTGGGGTTAATAATCCAAGTAAAGTCTTCCTCCTTTTCACTGGTATGACAGTAATACAGTACCTCCCTGGATGGGTAATGATAACTATCTTTTGACAATTCTTTGCCAATATCAAAACAACACCTGTGTGATATCATACTTAACCAAACATTAAAGAAGTCTTGAGAATCATAATATACATATCATGTACAAAAAAGTGTGTTCTTAAATTTGATCCATCATACTAATCAACAGAATGTCAAATATTCTTGTGCCTTTTCTATCAATCGTAGTAAAGGTAGGTAAGGAAGGTTTAAGGTAGAATAAGGCAACTATACTTGAGAAGTGAATGGGATATATGTACATGGATAAACCAAATACAATGAGGAATTCAATAGAAATGTCATACTGATTTTGCTGGGTCATCCTAGGTTAATTTTTATAATTTATCACTAATGTATGTCTATATAAAATTACGTATGGTGCATAATATCGTAAAAATTTAAAATGCAGTAATACCCATAAAACACGAGTTTTCTGACATATTTGTAATTCTAGCTACAACATACATTATAAATAAATGATTATATTGTGAAGAAACATTATTATAAATAAAATTTGCAGTATAAATAAGTTCACTTTTAGCAGAGAACCAGCACTCTTTGGAACACAGAAATATGAGAAGTTATGAAGATTTTATTAGGATTATCAAGTAGGCATATTAACCTAACTCAAAAAAGCCAAGCAATATGGCTTAATTTTTTAATTAAGTATACAAATGAATACAGGAATGTGTCTAAGGGAAAGATGGTGACAATAGTCGAGATAGAACTCTCGAGTCATTGATTCAAATTTAATAAATTTATATTTAGAAAGGATATAGGAAAGCCCTGTTTTGGCAGACTGTGGAAGACTGTCCCGCAGCATCACCGAAGTGAGTACTTATGGTTGTTTTAAATGAGTAAGAATGTAGGATCTGTTTAACATTGACCAGCTGACCTACTTTAATGCTCCTTTATTCTATGTACAAAAGTACAGGTAATATGTATCTAGAATTGAGATCTAAAATACTACATAGACATTATAAGCCACAAGTGATATTTCTATGACTTAACCAAGGTTAGCCCTACAAATCATTGAAAGGATCAGTAAGTTTAGTGAGGTACAAGTACACTATGCATGATTATCATACATAGAAGTACACGTGTACATTACCTAGGATAACCCAAAAATAGTCAAAGTGATTTATTTCCATTGCATCAAATTTTCTAGACTAAATTTTAGGCAAGTTCCAAGTTACAATTGATGAAACAGCATTACAGAAGACCAATTAAATCATGTTACAACCCAGCTTCTCCTCTAAGAGATGACTTTAGGGCCATATGGGTTTATAACAATACAGGGAACAACACCAGTAGACACATGATTATTATTACAGTGAAATTGTCGCAATGACAATAAATCAAGAACCGCAATAAGAATAAATCAAGAACCGCAATAAGAATAAATCAAGAACTGCAATGGGAATAAATCAAGAACTGCAATGAGAATAAAAAAACGCAATGAGAATAAATCAAGAACTTCAATGGGAATAAATCAAGAACCACAATGGGAATAAATCAAGAACTGCATATGAGAATAAATCAAGAACTGCAATGAGAATAAATCAAGAACCACAATGGGAATAAATCAAGGACCCAAAATAAATCAGTTTTGAGGGTTATCCTAGGTAATTTACACTATGCATGATAATTGTACTTATATATACGTGTACCTAAATAAACTTAATCACTGTCTCAACTGTAACTCACAAACTGTGTCCAGGAAAATTACTATGAAATCTTTAGGGGTCAAAAAACTCGAGCACCAGGATAGGTCACTCAACTGTGACACTCACCTTTGACCATAAGTACTTCCTTGTGACCAGCATTGTTAATTACAACCTTAATGACCTGTTCCTTCACTATAAAGGTGATATATGGAAAAGATCAATTATCTGGGGTCATTCCAGGATGACCCGAGTTGAGCCTCAGAATGTTCCTTGGGTTTTCCTATTTTAGCTCCCCCCCATTAACTTATCACCCCCCCATTCACTCCCCCCCAACAGTAAGTGGACTGGTTGTTAGACCTGACTGCTTGTTAGTACCAAACTACATCTTAGAGATCAATGTAAAGCGAAAATAGAGGCAGCGTGTGAGGTGCTGCTGGGATGTGACTCGTGTCTTCATGTCTCAGCTTCTGCAGATGTTATCTCAGCCTCCCAGGCCTATCCTGGAGGCTTCTTCTAGGCCTACCCGAGCACTTACCGAGGCCATGGTGGTGATTTTGAGGATGGCAGCGAGGAATAATGAGGTGAGATGGTGTAGAGAGCCTGGGTGGTGATGGGGGAGTTCTCCACTCACCACCTCCACCCATCAAACATTCGAAATCCACCAATGAGATGCCTGTGTACTGCGCACGCGCGCACCCACTACCACCCACTGACACTACCACCCATCCATTACCCACTACTACCACCCACTGACACTACCACCCATCCATTACCCACTACTACCACCCACTGACACTACCACCCATCCATTACCCACTACTACCACCCACTGACACTACAACCCATCCATTACCCACTACTACCACCCACTGACACTACCACCCATCCATTACCCACTACTACCACCCACTGACACTACCACCCATCCATTACCCACTACCACCACCCACTGACACTACCACCCATCCATTACCCACTACTACCACCCACTGACACTACCACCCATCCATTACCCACTACTACCACCCACTGACACTACCACCCATCCATTACCCACTACTACCACCCACTGACACTACCACCCATCCATTACCCACTACCACCCACTGACACTACCACCCATCCATTACCCACTACTACCACCCATCCATTACCAACTACTACCACCCACTGACACTACCACCCATCCATTACCCACTACTACCACCCACTGACACTACCACCCATCCATTACCCACTACTACCACCCACTGACATTACCACCCATCCATTACCCACTACTACCACCCACTGATACTACCACCCATCCATTACCCACTACTACCACCCACTGACACTACCACCCATCCATTACCCACTACTACCACCCACTGACACTACCACCCATCCATTACCCACTACCACCCACTGACACTACCACCCATCCATTACCCACTACTACCACCCACTGACACTACCACCCATCCATTACCCACTACTACCACCCAATGACACTACCACCCATCCATTACCCACTACCACCACCCACTGACACTACCACCCATCCATTACCCACTACTACCACCCACTGACACTACCACCCATCCATTACCCACTACTACCACCCACTGACACTACCACCCATCCATTACCCACTACCACCACCCACTGACACTACCACCCATCCATTACCCACTACTACCACCCACAGACACTACCACCCATCCATTACCCACTACTACCACCCACTGACACTACCACCCATCCATTACCCACTACCACCACCCACTGACACTACCACCCATCCATTACCCACTACTACCACCCACTGACACTACCACCCATCCATTACCCACTACTACCACCCACTGACACTACCACCCATCCATTACCCACTACTACCACCCACTGACACTACCACCCATCCATTACCCACTACCACCACCCACTGACACTACCACCCATCCATTACCCACTACTACCACCCACTGACACTACCACTCATCCATTACCCACTACTACCACCCACTGACACTACCACCCATCCATTACCCACTACCACCCACTGACACTACCACCCATCCATTACCCACTACCACCCACTGACACTACCACCCATCCATTACCCACTACCACCCACTGACACTACCACCCATCCATTACCCACTACCACCCACTGACACTACCACCCATCCATTACCCACTACCACCACTACCACCCACTGACACTACCACCCATCCATTACCCACTACCACCACTACCACCCACTGACACTACCACCCATCCATTACCCACTACCACCACTACCACCCACTGACACTACCACCCATCCATTACCCACTACCACCACTACCACCCACTGACACTACCACCCATCCATTACCCACTACCACCACTACTACCCACTGACACTACCACCCGTCCATTACCCACTACCACCACTACCACCCACTGACACTACCACCCATCCATTACCCACTACCACCACTATCACCCACTGACACTACCACCCATCCATTACCCACTACCACCACTACCACCCACTGACACTACCACCCATCCATTACCCACTACCACCCACTGACACTACCACCCATCCATTACCCACTACCATCACTACCACCCACTGACACTACCACCCATCCATTACCCACTACCACCACTACCACCCACTGACACTACTACCCATCCATTACCCACTACCACCACTACCACCCACTGACACTACCACCCATCCATTACCCACTACCACCACTAACCACCCATCCATTACCCACTACCACCACTACCACCCATCCATTACCCACTACCACCACTACCACCCACTGACACTACCACCAATCCATTACCCACTACCACCACTACCACTTACTGACACTACCACCCATCCATTACCCACTACCACCACTACCACCCATCCATTACCCACTACCATCACTACCACCCACTGACACTACCACCCACTGACACTACCACCCATCCATTACCCACTACCACCACTACCACCACTACCACCCACTGACACTACCACCCATCCATTACCCACTACCACCCACTGACACTACCACCCACTGACACTACCACCCACTGACACTACCACCCACTGACACTACCACCCACTGATACTACCACCCACTGACACTACCACCAATCCATTACCCACTACCACCCACTGACACTACCACCCGTCCATTACCCACTACCACCCACTGACACTACCACCCATCCATTACTCACTACCACCACTACCACCCACTGACACTACCACCCATCCATTACCCACTACCACCCACTGACACTACCACCCATCCATTACCCACTACCACCACTACCACTCATCCATTAACACCACTACCACCCACTGACACTACCACCCATCCATTACCCACTACCACCACTACCACCCACTGACACTACCACCCATCCATTTCCCACTACCACCCACTGACACTACCGCCCATCCATTACCCACTACCACCCACTGACACTACCACCCATCCATTACCCACTACCACCCACTGACACTACCACCTGGAGTTTACCTGGAGAGAGTTCCGGGGGTCAACGCCCCCGCGGCCCGGTCTGTAACCAGGCCTCCTGGTGGATCAGAGCCTGATCAACCAGGCTGTTGCTGCTTTCTGCACGCAAACCAACGTACGAGCCACAGCCCGGCTGGTCAGGAACCGACTTTAGGTGCTTGTCCAGTGCCAGCTTGAAGACTGCCAGGGGTCTGTTGGTAATCCCCCTTATGTATGCTGGGAGGCAGTTGAACAGTCTCGGGCCCCTGACACTTATTGTATGATCTCTTAACGTGCTAGTGACATCCCTGCTTTTCATTGGGGGGATGTTGCATCGTCTGCCAAGTCTTTTGCTTTCGTAGTGAGTGATTTTCGTGTGCAAGTTCGGTACTAGTCCCTCTAGGATTTTCCAGGTATATATAATCATGTATCTCTCCCGCCTGCGTTCCAGGGAATACAGGTTCAGGAACCTCAAGCGCTCCCAGTAATTGAGGTGTTTTATCTCCGTTATGCGCGCCGTGAAGGTTCTCTGTACATTTTCTAGGTCAGCAATTTCACCTGCCTTGAAAGGTGCTGTTAGTGTGCAGCCATATTCCAGCCTAGATAGAACAAGTGACCTGAAGAGTGTCATCATGGGCTTGGCCTCCCTAGTTTTGAAGGTTCTCATTATCCATCCTGTCATTTTTCTAGCAGATGCGATTGATACAATGTTATGGTCCTTGAAGGTGAGATCCTCCGACATGATCACTCCCAGGTCTTTGACGTTGGTGTTTCGCTCTATTTTGTGGCCAGAATTTGTTTTGTACTCTGATGAAGATTTAATTTCCTCGTGTTTACCATATCTGAGTAATTGAAATTTCTCATCGTTGAACTTCATATTGTTTTCTGCAGCCCACTGAAAGATTTGGTTGATGTCCGCCTGGAGCCTTGCAGTGTCTGCAATGGAAGACACTGTCATGCAGATTCGGGTGTCATCTGCAAAGGAAGACACGGTGCTGTGGCTGACATCCTTGTCTATGTCGGATATGAGGATGAGGAACAAGATGGGAGCGAGTACTGTGCCTTGTGGAACAGAGCTTTTCACCGTAGCTGCCTCGGACTTTACTCTGTTGACTACTACTCTCTGTGTTCTGTTAGTGAGGAAATTATAGATCCATCGACCGACTTTTCCTGTTATTCCTTTAGCACGCATTTTGTGCGCTATTACGCCATGGTCACACTTGTCGAAGGCTTTTGCAAAGTCTGTATATATTACATCTGCATTCTTTTTGTCTTCTAGTGCATTTAGGACCTTGTCGTAGTGATCCAATAATTGAGACAGACAGGAGTGACCTGTTCTAAACCCATGTTGCCCTGGGTTGTGTAACTGATGGGTTTCTAGATGGGTGCTTCTTAGGACCCTTTCAAAGATTTTTATGATATGGGATGTTAGTGCTATCGGTCTGTAGTTTTTGCTGTTGCTTTACTGCCCCCTTTGTGGAGTGGGGCTATGTCTGTTGTTTTTAGTAACTGTGGGACGACCCCCGTGTCCATGCTCCCTCTCCATAGGATGGAAAAGGCTCGTGATAGGGGCTTCTTGCAGTTCTTGATGAACACGGAGTTCCATGAGTCTGGCCCTGGGGCAGAGTGCATGGGCATGTCATTCATCGCCTGTTCGAAGTCATTTGGCGTCAGGATAGCATCGGATAGGCTTGTGTTAATCAAATTTTGTGGCTCTCATAAAAAATTCATTTTGATCTTCGACTCTCAGTCTGGTTAGCGGCTTGCTAAAAAACTGAGTCATATTGGGACTTGAGTAGCTCACTCATTTCCTTGCTGTCATCTGTGTAGGACCCATCTTGTTTAAGTAGGGGCCCACTACTGGACGTTGTTCTCGACTTTGATTTGGCATAGGAGAAGAAATACTTTGGGTTTCTTTCGATTTCATTTATGGCTTTTAGTTCTTCCCGCGATTCCTGACTCCTATAAGATTCCTTTAGCTTAAGTTCGATGCTTGCTATTTCTCTGACCAGTGTCTCCCTACGCATTTCAGATATATTGACCTCTTTTAGCCGCTCTTATTCTTTTCCGTCGCCTGTAAAGGGAGCGCCTGTCTCTTTCTATTTTACATCTACTCCTCATTTTTCTTAGAGGAATAAGCCTTGTGCATACATCGAGTGCCACCAAGTTAATCTGTTC